AGGAATGTCAGCGTGTTCTTGCCTCCAATGAACCGCAGGGGAACCGGAAGTGGAGGCGAGGCCCGGGGTCAAACCCCACGACCAGAATCAGTAAATACCAACCGCGGCCCGCGGGCCGAGCCCGGCCGTGGGAGCCCGGCGCCCGCTCCGGCGGCGGCGTTCGCCAGGGCCTGGGGCCGGGTGAGGCTCCGCCCGCTGGTCTGGGGGCGCCCGGGGTCCGCGCTCCACGCTTTCTGGGATGGGGCGGGCGGGGCGGGCGTCGGGTGCTGAGCTGGAGCCCTGCGCCCCGGCCCACGCGCGGTCTCCCCCTGCCAGGTGTGGTTCCAGAACCGGCGCGCCAAGTCCCGGCGCCAGGGCGGGAGGGCCCGGCCGGCCTCCTGCGGTTCTTCCCCCCGCCGCCTCGCTCCGGGGGCCCCCGCGAGCGCCGAGGCCCAGCGCCCGCCCGAGGACCGCGGCGCGCGACCCGGCACCTGGGAGCAGCGCGTCTTCCCGGCGTTGGCTGGCTTCTGAGGACCCGAGACTGCCGGGTGTGTCGGCGTGTGCCCGCGGCCCGTCCAGGTGCGCCCGCGGACCATCCAGCTGTGCCCGCGGCCCGTCCGGCTGTGTCCGTCCGGCTGCGCCCGCGGCCCGTCTAGCTACGCACAAGGCCCGTCCAGCTGCTGCGCACAAGGCCTGTCCGGCTCCGCACGGTATACCCGCGGCCCGCCCGGCTGCGCCCGTGGCCTGTCCGGCTGTGCACAAGGCCTGTCCAGGTGTGCCCGCGGCCCGTCGGGCTGCGCACGCTGTGCCCGCGGCCCGTCCGGGTGCGCCCGCGGCCCGTCCAGCTGCGCGCGCTGTGCCCGCGGCCCATCCGGGTGCACACAAGGCCCATCCAGGTGCGCCCACGGCCCGTCCAGGTGCGCTCGTGGCTCGTTCCCTTGCACGGTGGCTGTCCTCTTGTCACCAGCCATCCTCTTCCCCCTGGGCCCTGTCCGCCTCCCCCTCTTGTCCCCGCGTTTCCAGGTCTACACGGCTGATCTGGCCCGTGTCCTCCTTGTGGACGGTGCGTAGACCCAGCTCAGTGTGAGCGCAGTGGGTGCGGCGGTCCCCCAGGCCGCCCCCCTCCACAGCCTCCTTCCTCACTGCAACCTCACATCCTGACTGGAGTACTTTACATCTTAAATGATAAAGTTGCCATATTTATGATGCACAGCGTGGTGGTGTGTGGATGTGCATATGTACACGCACACAGACGGTGGAATGGCTAAATAAAAGTTGTTTGGCCACATGCATTGCCTCACAGACTTTGTGTGTGTCATAACAACATCCACTCTTGGAGCATTAGGTATTGATGATGAAAATGTACTCCCCAAAGGAGTCTATGCCCTCCCAGCCCTGCTTTTCTCAGCATGCCTGATGGCTCACGTTTGGATGACAACCAGAGCCACTTTCTACAGCTTCTCTCTTCTCTTTAGAAATCTGGCTGGGTGCTGGTGGCTCACGCCTGTAATCCTGACCACTTAGGAGGCTGAGGTCTTAGGATGGCAGTTCAAAGCCAGCCCAGGCAGGAAAGTCTGTGAGAGATGTTCATCTCCAATTAACCACCAAAAAGCTGGAACTGGAGGTGTGGCTTAAGCAGTAGAGCACCAACACTGAGCAAAAAGCTAAGGGACGGTGCCCAGGCCTGGAGTTCAACCCCTGCCACGCCTACTCCGGTGGAGTCTGCTTAGCGTGGGAAACCTGCTTTCAGACCTGAGAATGGGGCTTCACCGAAGTCTACCTCAGAGAATGGGGCTTCAAAGAGGCCTACCTCCTGGAAAGGCTGGCAAGCCCCTGGGAAAGATGTGTTGCTGTCCCTGCTTTTCTTTTCTCCACTGTATAAGAGTGCCTATTAATCTTTTACTGTTTCTGCTGCTCATTGTACTTACTCATGCTCAACATTCCTTTATTTAAAGCTCTTTCTTAAGAGTGTTGATGACTCCAATACCTGATGAGTGTCTTAAAAATATGACTAACTCACCAGAGTTAAGTGCTACCCTGAAACCCCTCTTATGGAGGCTAGTAGACAAGTCATAAGTAAATACAAAAGTATTGGGGGTTTCACAAAGTCACTTCAGCAGAAGGAATTGTTTGTAAGAGATTTACAAGAAGCTGTAGGCTCGGCTAGAACAGAAAGAATGTATGGCAATTGCTGGGATAACTACTTAGGAGAAAGAACTTCCTGCTACTCTCTTTTATTTACTAAGAGACTTGCTAGATCTAGGCCTCCATGGCACTATTAAAAAAGGAACAGGAAAGATCTTATGGGACAGTTAAGGCCTCTATAAAAATAGGTAATGGTTAATTGGTGACAAACATCGAAACCCTTTGTATTTCTTAGAGATAAGCCGGAAACAAGTGCCTATCAGGCAACCAGCTGGTGACCACCCAAAAATGAAGCCATGCAGCAAGATTGTGTAACCTTCTGCCCTTTCTCATGGAGACTTTTGCTATAAAAGCTTGTTATCCTCTGCATTAAATCGCGCTCAGCATCCACTCCTCTTGTGTGTGAGTTGTCTGTTTGCCATCTCCCCACCTATTCCAGTTCCTCCACTAGGTGTCCTCCGTCGTCCCGACAGAGCCGGTCCGCGGCAAAACCCCAGTGCCAGCACTGGAAAAAAAAATGTAGTAGCCTGGTGATCAGGTCACAGCGCCTTTGGTGACCCAGGTTCAGCTCCTGCAGCCTCATCTCCAATCCTCCACTCAAAACCCAAACCATCTTTGTTTGTTTGTATCGGTTGTGGGGCTTGTACTCTGGGCCTGGGCGCTGTCCCTCAGTTCTTCAGCTCAAGGCTAGCGCTCTACCACTTGAGCCACAGCGCCACTTCCGGTTTTCTGGTGGGTTATTAGAGATAAGAGTCTCATGGACTTTGCTGCCAGGGCTGGCTTTGAACTGCGATCCTCAGATCTCAGCCTCCTGGGTAGCTAGGATTACAGGTGTGAGCCACTACCGGGCAAACTCAAAATGTTTTTCATTTTTCTCCCCAAATGCCTGCATTCCACCTTCCTGCAACCTGAGACTCCTTCCTCTAACTCTGGTCCATGCTACTTTGCAGTTTCAGTGGGTTATTAGATGCTCCCCTGCCTGTCCATAGCATGTCTCTGTCCTTTGTGCAGGACAGCTCTTGCAGGCCTCTGCTCAGTACACATGAAATGTCTGTACAAGTCTTCTAAGGGGCATCTTTGCAGATGTAGTATCAGCTAGTAATCCATGTTGACAGGCTACCATGCTGAGGACTTTAATCTAGTTAAAGGCACATCTTTGCTTGATCCACGTTTAGTAACTCATGAGTACTTTGACTTTAGGGTTTTCCCTAATTTGTAATTCTTACATATTTTTTACACCAGTTTCCTGTGTTGCTAGTTTGGGTTTTTTAGTTGCAGAACTTAACTCTGGGCCTAGTCGCTGTGCCTGAACTTCTTTGGCTCCAGGCAAGTGCTCTACCACTTGAGCCCCTGCACTACTTCTGGCTTTTTGAGTTCTTTATTGGAGACAAGAGTCTCAGACTTTCCTGCCTGGGCTGGCTTCAAACTGTGATCTTCAGATCTCAGCCTCCTGAGTAGTAGCTAGAATTACAGGTAGTAGTAGCTGAGTAGTAGCTAGAATTACAGCCATCAACACCCAGGTTAGGATATTATATCTTAATTTTGTTGGTTGTGGGGCTTGAACTCTGGGCCTAGACGCTGTCCCTCAGCTCAAGGCTAGTGCTCTACCACTTGAGCCACAGCGCCACTTCCAGCTTTTTTTGCTTATGTGGTGCTGAGGAATCAAACCCAGGGCCTCATGCATGCAGCAAGCAGCACTCTACCACTGAGCCACGTTCCCAGCCTGTTTGCTGATTATTTTGGAGATGGAATCTTGTAGGTTTTTCTGCTAGCTTCAAACTTTGATCCTCTAGATCTGAGCCTTATGAGTAGCAAGACTTACAACAGGCATGAGTCCCAAGTGATGAAATACACCAGTCCCCTAGTTTCCATGGTGGTGGTGATGTAGTTTGTGCATTTTCAGATTAGCAAATCCACCATGAAAAGCATCCAAAGGCTGATTGAAATATATTGTAAATGTGTGGGAAGGTATTAGTGAGTGCCCCTCTGGATAACTCATGTAAGCTAGTAATAATCATAACACAAAAGCAACCAAGGAAGAGTTCAAGCTCAGTAGCAGTTAGACTTCTGACACCTTTGAAAACTGTCTGAAACCAAAAACCAAAACCAAGGCTGTAAACATTAGCCAGGGTTGTAAGTGCTTACCATGTGACAAGCAGTCAACACGGGGGCTGGGGGGGGGGGGGGGGTCCGTCCATCCTGTCTGGAGGAGCCAGTAGGGCTCAGCATTGTGAGATGTCACTCAGTGGGTCATAAAATGGGAAGGCAGGCTCACTACCCTGAACTCATGGTGCACTCTAAGTCTCATTAAAGTAACTTGAATTAGCATATTTGTATTCTTACATATTTTCTCTAGAGAATAATTTAAAAAGCAATATAAATACTTAAAACCCATTTTTGTGCAGTACTTGGGCTTGAACTCAAGGCCTAGACGCTTGCCCTTGGTGTTTTCTTTCACTCTACCTCATAAGCCACAGCTCCACTTATGGTTTTTTTGGTGTTTTAATTGGATATGAGTCTCACAGGCTGGCTTTGAACTTCAATCCTCAGATCTCAGTCTCCTGAGTAGCTAGGATTACAGGCATGAGCCACCAGTGTTTGTGTGTGTGAATGGGTATGTATGTGTATTGATACTGAGGCTTGAACTCCAGGCTTCAACTTTTCCACTCAAGGTTGGTGTTCTACTAGTTGACCCACACCTCTATTTGTGGCTTCTTGCTGGTTAACTGAAGATTAGCCTCAGGATCTGTCTTCTAGGTCTGACTCTGAACCCTGATCCTTGGATCTCAACCTCCTGAGTAGCTAGGAGTTTAAGAATGAGTCTTCAGCAACCTTGCCACAAAACTCTCAACTTGTATCAAATGAGAATGCAGTAATAAATTTTCATAGATCAATTTATTTGGAATTACAAATATTAATAAAAGACTTTGCATTTCTTAACAGTTTAGCTAAATATAAACTCTGCACTAAAGTTTTGCGGTGGCACAAGACTAACAAAGAACACAGAAGCATTTTAAACTATACAAAAACCTCAACTGGAAAATAATCTTATTTTATTATACATTAGCATATAAAAAGCCTCATCTTATGAGGCCTCTGAAAGAATCAGAACCACCCATTCAGCTATATCTTAAACTCCAAATCTGAAGACAATTTATTATATTTTGGCTTTATAATATTCTATATTAAAATGAAGAGAATTCAAAATATATACTTTTTACAAGATTAACATTTTAGGCAAGGTTTTTTTTAAAAACAAAAAAAACAAAATAACCAAAATCAAACCTTTCTGCATTTTACAACACCAGTTATCTTTGTTTTCCTTATAAAATATTTTTACTTACAAACTTGTACTGTTGGATTTTAACCAGTAATCTGGTTTAAAAATTGTGCAAATAAACAAAACGTATGAAAATAGTGTGTTACCAGTCTTCTTTAAATAAATCTAGTATCCGCAGCACTTTGCCCTCAACGGCAGGAGAGGCACGCCGAGCCCAGCTGCTGACGCCAGCCCCTCTCTGTCTCGGCCCCCTGCTCCTTCATTTTCTTCCAAACGCAGACACCAAAGGCAATCCTTTTTATAAATTAGATAAATTAAAGTCTTCACTGCTCTCAGCTATGTGCGGCCCCCTCACATCACACCCAGGTGTGAGACGCAGGCTGGTGGAGCCACACCTCCACCGGCCCCAGGCTCTCCACAGCCCACATGACCTCTCCCGAAGCTGGATGTGCGCACCTGGGAGGAACCGCTCCCCACGCACTGCCCACGGCTGCTGCCATGCAGACACACCGAGTTCCTTCTCACTCTCTGTGGCAGCAGCATGTTCTCCACAGCAATAGCTGCCGGCACCTTCTGAACTCAATTCATGCACTTAAAAAGAATGAACGCATTCTTCCATGAAACACTCTGTGTAGACACTTGAAGCTTAAAACACTGGCTAGTAAACGAAGGTAACGTAAGCAGTGCTACTGCATGTGGCTAATAAGGGAAGGGAGTCCGGGCCAGGTGGCAGGGCGGGCGGTACTCAATGCCGCGGGGGACTTACACCCCTCCTTCCCCAGCAGCCAGGCCACTGGAAACGCGAAGCTGAATAGAGGGACAGGCCTCCGGCCGGCGGACTGTGAGTGGCCGCTTGGCCTCAGTCTCTATTGGTGTTGTTGGCTGCAAAGGCATGCAAGTTCCCCATCTGGCTCAGGCCGCTCTGAATGTGTGCCACGTGGATCTCTACATTATTCTGGAAGCAACTAAGGAAAAAGAAATAGCTACTTTATTCACAAAGTTAAGAGAAACCTTTTCTTTTTCTTTTTGGTCGGTCATGGGGCTTGAACTCTGGGCCTGGGCGCTGTCCCTCAGCTCTTCAGCTCAAGGCGAATGCTCTACCGCTTGAGCCACAGTGCCACTTCTGGTTTTCTAGTGATTTATTGGAGATAAGAGTCTCACAGACTTTCCTGCCCAGGCTGGCTTTGAACCGAGATCCTCAGATCTCAGCCTCCTGAGTAGCTAGGATGACAGGGGTGAGCCACGGGCACCTGGCTTTTTTTTTTTTTTTTTTTTAAAAGGAAGCACTGAACTTGAGTTTGAAAATAGCTGGGATAATGACTTCAGGATGGGCCAGAATTCTACTTCCATGGTACTAGAAAACTTTGCTTTGAAAGAACCAGAGGAGCCTCAGGTAGAGAGAGGAGCAAGTTGTGCTCCACCTCCAAGATGCACCAAAGCAAAGTATTACAAGTGCCCAGGTCCTTTACACAGAAAACCCATGTAACACCCGTTCTGTCAAGAGGAAGGCCATATGGAAAATCCCAAAAAGACAAGACTACGTCACAAGTATGTAAAATTCTGAACACATATTTAAAAAGCTACAATCCATTAATAAAGTGATTAGGATACACCTAATTACCTGATATTAGAAGCATCTATTGTACTCTTGATATCATTTAATGAATCTGTAAGTGATTTGAATTCAAAGGAATTCAGGTCTCCTCCCTCTGCTAGACACTAAAAGAAAAAAAATTGAATTATAGTTCAAATACACACATAAAATACCTGAATTAACAATGAAAATGAAGCCGGGTGCTGGTGGCTCACGCCTTTAATCCTAGCTACTCAGGAGGCTGAGATCTGAGGATTGCGGTTCGAAGCCAGCCCGGGCAGGAGAGACCGTGAGACTCCTATCTCCAATAAACCACCAGAAAACCGGAAGTGGCGCTGTAGCTCAAGTGGTAGAGTGCTCGCCTTGAGCTGAAGAGCTGAGGGACAGCGCCCAGGCCCAGAGTTCAAGCCCCATGACGGACCAAAAAAAAAACAAAACAAAAAAACCAAAAAACAATGAAAATGCAAACACATCATAACGGAGCCTCTGGGATTCTGCAAAAGCAGTGCTAAGGGGAAATTTTTTTTTTTTTGGTTGGTCGTGGGGCTTGAACTCTGGGCTTGGGCACTGTCCCAGCACTCTTCAGCTCAAGGCGAGCGCTCTACTGCTTGAGCCACAGCACCACTTCCGGTTTTCTAGTGGTTTATTGGAGATAAGAGTCTCACAGAGGAAGTGGCGCTGTGGCTCAAGTGGTAGAGCGCTAGCCTTGAGCTGAAGAGCTGAGGGACAGCGCCCAGGCCCAGAGTTCAAGCCCCACGGCTGACCAAAAAAAAAAATTGAACTAGCTGTGTAACACACACAGGGGATTGAGACTTTTGTTATTGAAATTTCTCTTGATTTGATTCATAGATTCATTGATGTGGTCAATACCACATGTCAAAACCATACATACTGCCAGTTGCCAGCTGCTCATGCCTGTAATTCTTACTCAGGAGGCTAAGGTCTGAAGATCACCATTGAAGCCAGCCTGGGCAGGAAGTTCCATGAGACTATTTCCAATTAATCCCAAAAAGCTGGAAATAGAGCTGTGACTCAAGAAGTAGAGCCAGGCGCCGGTGGCTCATGCCTGTAATCCTAGCTACTCAGGAGGCTGAGATATGAGGATCGAGGTTCAAAGCCAGCCCCGGGCAGGAAAGTCTGTAAAACTCTTATCTCCAATAAACCACAGAAAACCAGAAGGGGCACTGTAGCTCAAGTGGGAGAGCACTACCCTTGAGCTGAAGAGCTGAGGGACAGGGTTCAGGCCCAGAGTTCAAGCCCCAGGACCGACAGAAAAAAAAAGAAAAGAAGAGTCTCACAGACTTTCCTGCCTGCCTGGCTTTGAAACACTATCCTCAGATCTCTGCCTCATGAGTAGCTAGGATTACAGGCATGAGCTACTGGCCAGCTGAGGGGAAAATTTTTAACCCTAAAGCACATATAAAGAAAATAGAAACAGCTAAACAACCTCATGATGCAATTAAAACTGCTAGAAAGGGGCTGGGAAGGTGGCTCAGTGGTAGAGCGCCTGCCTTGCATGCATGAGGCCCTGGGTTCAATTCCTCAGCACCACATAAGCAGAAAAAGCCAGAAGTGGCGCTGTGACTCAAGAGGTAGAGCACTAGCCTTGAGCTGAAGAGCTGAGCGACAGCGCCCAGGCCCAAAGTTTAGGTCCCATGACCAACAAAACCAAAACAAAACAAAACAACTGTTAGAAAAAAAAAAAGTCTAAAACTACTAGATGGAGAGAGATAGCAAAGACTGGCAGAAATTATTGAACTAGAAATGCAAGAACTATATATAAAAATCAATGAAACAAAAAGCTGTTTTTTTTAAATACTTCATTTTATTTTATTTATTTATTTTTTTGGGTCCGGTCATGGGGCCTGAACTCTGGGCCTAGAGCTAATCAACCACTTTGGCAAAGTAGCAGGACACAAAATTAACCCACAACAATCAGTAGCCTTTCTGTATGCCAACAATGCACAAGCAGAAAGGGAAATCATGAGAACAAGTCCATGCAATAGCCTTAAACAAACCAACCTAGAAATTAACTTAACCAAAGATGTAAAAGTCTCTATAGTGAAAACCATAAAAATCTCAAGAAAAAAACCCGAAGAGGACACCAGGAAATGGAAAAACCTTTCATGTTCATGGATAGAATCAGTACTGTGAGAATGGCCATACTGCAAAAATTGATACACAAATTCAATGCAATCCCCATCAAAATCCCAATGATGTTCTTTACTGAGATAGAGAAAACAATCCAAAAATTCATATGGAACAACAAATGACCCAGAAGAGCCAAAGCAACTCTAGGCAAAAAAGCAACGCAGGCTGGATCAAAATTCCAGACTTCAAACTCTACTACAGAGCCTTAATAACAAAAACGGGGTGGTATTGGCACAAAAGCAGACCCAAAGATCAATGGAACAGATTAGAAGACCCAGAAATAAAACCATATAGTTACAGTCATCTAATATCCAACAAAGGAGCCAAAGACATTCAGTGGAAAAATCATAGCCTCTTCAATAATTGGTGTTAGAAAAAACTGGGCAGCAACATGCAGAAAACAAAGTGGATCCCTGCTTGTCACCATACATTAAAATCAACTCAAAGTGGATCAAAGACCTCAACGTCAGACCCCAAACTCTGAAACTACTGCTGGAGAGAGCAGGAGAGACATTAGAACTTATGGGTACAGGCAGGAAGTTCCTGAATAGAGTCCCTGGGGCGCAATAGATAAGAGAGACTTGGCAAGTAGGCCTACATTAAAATAAATAAAAAGTTTCTAAAGCTGGGTGGCGCCGGTGCCGCATGCCTGTAACCCCAGCTACTCAGGAGGCTGAGATCTGAGGATCAGGGTTTAAAGCCAGCCTGGGCAAGAAAGGCTGCGAGACTCTTATCTCCAATAAACCACTCGAAAACTGGAAGTAGTGCAGTGGCTCAAGTGGTAGAGCGCTAGCCTTGAGCTGAAGAGCTGAGGGACAATGTTCAGGCCCAGAGTTCAAATGCTATGACCAACCAAAAAAAAAAAAAAGTTTCCGTATAGCTAAGGACATAGTTACTAAACTAGAAAGACAGCCAACTAGCAATACATTAGACAAAGGCCTAATATCCAATAGATACAAGGAGCTCAAGGAACGAACCCCTCCCAATCCTAATAAATCAATCATTAAATGGGCAAGAGAGCTGAGGAGAGACTGCTCAAAGAGGTAAGAATGGCAAGGAAACACATAAGGAAACGCTCATCCTCCTTCGTCATGAAGGAAATGCCAATCAAAATGACCCTGAGATTCCATCTTACCCCAGTTAGATTGGCCACATTGTGAACTGGAACAATAACAAATGCTGGCGGGAACGTGGGGAAAAGGAACCCCACCGCACTGCTGGCGGGGATGTAAACTAAACCACCACTCTGGACAGCAGTCTGGAGGTTCCGCAAAAAAGCCCAACAGCGACCTTCCCTGCGGCCAGCCATTCCACGCCTGGGCATCTTCCTGAGCACCACAGCCAGGATATGAGGACACCCGCACACCCATGTTCACTGCTGCACTATTCACAACCGCCAAGATACGCAAACAGCCCAGAGGCCCCACAACAGGTGAGTGGATCCAACAACTGTGATACCTACACACAATGGAGTTTTATGCAGCCATTAGAAAGAATAATGTCATTTGCAGGGAAGTGGATGGAACTAGAACCAATCATATTACGTGAGGTAACCCAAGATCAGAGAGACAAACAGCACAAGTTCTTCCTGATATACGGGTGTTAAGACTTAAACCACACTGGGATATGACAAATTACACAGAGACCAAAAGAGGACAGACTAAGGAGAAAATCATAAAAGTGCAATACCAAAGCACCTCTTCATATTAGAAAAAATAATATACATTCTGAAGCAAACTCTACAGATATGGAAACAAAGAACTTTCATCTTAATTTGTTATTTCATGTATGCATGTATGCATGCATGTATGTATGTATGTATGTATGTATGTATGTATGTATGTATGTTGTGGAGCTTGAACTCTACGCCTGGGTGCTGTCCCTCATTTCTTCAACCCTCAGGTAGCGCTCTACCACTTGAGCTACGGCGCCACTTCCGGTTTTCTGGTGGTTTATTGGAGATCGGAGTCTCACGGTCTCTCCTGCCCGGGCTGGCTTTGAACCGCGATCCTCAGATCTCAGCCTTTTGAATAGCTAGGATGACAGGCGTGAGCCACTGGCGCCAGCAGTATAACTGTTTAATCAAAATCATGAAATACTTTCTCTGAGATTACCTTAATTTGTAGTAAAATAGCTGTAAGCCTGGAGATCAGGTCTGTGAGGTTTTGGTTTTCAACACAAGGCTGTCCAGTGGAGGAATTTGCATGCCGAACGATCTCCTGGGCCTCTTCCTCACAGCGGCGCCTCATGTCTGTTGGCTGATCAGCTGGCTGGAGCCCCTGGTCTGGGGCAAGCTGACCATGCAAATGGAGACGCAGATGAAAGCTAGGAAGGGCCAGGGTTTGCATGCACATGTGTCTACACTTTATTTTTTTGTCTGTCGTGGGGCTTGAACTCGGCCTGGGCGCTATCCCCGCTCTACCACTTGAGCCACAGTGCCATTTCTGGTTTTCTGATGGTTTGCTGAAGAGTTTCACAGACTTTGCTGCCCAGGCTGGCTTTGAACCATGATCCTCAGATCTCAACCTCCTGAGTGTGTGAGCCCCTGGCACTCAGCATGATTCTCACTTTGTAACTAAAGTGATGTCCACTCTTAGAAGCTTTCCTCTGATAGTATTTTTCCTATGCTCTGGGGCTTGAACTCAGAACCTGGGCGCCATCCCTTAGCTCTGCAGCTCAAGGCTATCGTTCTACCACTTGAGCCACAGCACCACTTTGAGTGGTTTCTTGGAGACAAGAGTCTCATGGATGTTTCTGCCGGGCCAGCTTTGAAGTATGATCCTCAGATCTCAGCCTCCTGAGCAGCAAGGGTACTCAGGGCCTGGCATGTTTCACAATTTTTGTTATGCTTAATTTTGATATAACTTTAAACAAAAGTTAAATATGAGAATAAAGAGGAGCTGGGAAGGTGGCTCCGTGGTAGAGGGCGTGCCTTGCATGCTTGGGTTTGATTCCTCAGCACCACATAGACAGAAAAAACTGGAAGTGGTGCTGTGGCTCAAGTGGTAGAGCGCTCGCCTTGAGCTGAAGAGCTGAGGGACAGCGCCCAGGCCCAGACAGTTCAGGCCCCATGACTATCCAAAAAAAAAAAAGGGGGGGGGGAGGGGTCTGGGAAGATGGCTTCAAGCCCCACAACCTACAAAAAAAAACCCCAAAACAACTCTTTTTCTTTTTCTTTCTTTTCTTTGATAGCTTCCCCCACTTCCCCCCCCCCCCCCGCCCCCCCGCAAGGCTGAGGACTGAACCCAGGCGCCCTTCCACTGGGCTAAACCCCCAGCCCCTCCTTCTTTTCTTTCATAAGCCTGCCTGCCTTCCTTTCTTCTTTCCTGTCCTAAGTTTGAACTCAGAGCCTGGGCACTATCCCTGAGCTTTTTCATTCAAGGTTTGCACTCTACCACAAGAGCCACAGCTCCACTTCCAGCTTTTATCTGGTTGACTGGAGATAAGACTCTCACAGATTTGAACTGAGATCCTCAGATCTCCAAACCAGATAGGGTTCCAGGCATGAGCTCACTGGTGCCTGACTATGTCCTGTCTCTTTAGGCCTCTGCTCGGAACCATTCTGCAATGGTTTACAATTTCCTTAGGTTTTTTTTGTCAGTACTGGGGCTTGAACTCTGGGCCTGGGCACTGTCCATGTGCTCTTCAGCTGAAGGCAAGAGCTCTACCACTTCAGCCACAGCACCACTTCTGGTTTTCTAGTGGTTTATTGGAGATAAGAGTCTCATGGATGGGGCTGGGAAGGTGGCTCAGTGGTAGAGCACTTGCCTTGCATGCATGAGGCCCTGAGTTCAATTCCTCAGCACCACATAAGCAAAAAGAAAAAAGCTGGAAGTGGCGCTGTGGCTCAAGTGGTAGAGCGCTAGCCTTGAGCTGAAGAGCTGAGGGACAACGCCCAGGCCCGGAGTTCAGGCCCCATGACCGGACCCTCCCCCAAAAAAATAAAAGAGTCTCATGGAGTTTCCTGCCTGGGCTGGCTTTGAACCATGATCCTCAGATCTCAGCATCCTGAGCAACTAGGATTACAGGCTGAGCCACTACCACTGGCTCAAACTCCCCAATTTTAAGTGGTAGTGTTGAACCATCCTTAGTAATATCAAATGTGAATGGTAAATCAAAATAACTTGTCATAATTCCTAAAATCCAACAATTCACAGTTCCAAGATAAAGTCTGAAGGAAGAAGAAACAAAATTGTATGCATGGAATGAGCACAGCTTTCTGAAAAGCATAGAGTGTTATGTATTTATTAAAATAACAAAAGCAAAAACCAGAAAAGAGTCTCCTGTTCTTTTTTGGCCAGGCTGGCTTTGAACCTTGATCCTCAGATCTCAGCCTCCTTATAGCAAGGATTATAGGTGTGAGCTACCTGTGCCCAGCTTATTTAAATGAAAAAAGAAAAAAAAAAGATACTTGGACGAAGGAGTTTCAATTTGACAAGTCAGTTTATGAATACAAGGCATTGAAGATCAATTATTTTGCCTATAATCCCAACACTCAGCAGGCTATGGGAGGTGGCTAAAGAGTTCAAAGGCAATAGGGCAGTGGTAGCTCACGCCTGTCATCCTAGCTACTCAGGAGGCTGAGATCTGAGGATTGTGGTTCAAAGCCAGCCCAGGCAGGAAGGGCATGAATACTCTTATCTCCAATGAAGTACTCAGAAAAAGCCAGAAGTGGTGCTGTGGCTCAAATGGTATAGCACTACCAGCCTTGAGCAAAAGCAGCTCAGGGACTGCGCCCAGGCCCTAAGTTCAAGCCCCATGACTAGCACAAAAAAAAAGAAAAAAGAAGCAAGAGTTCAAGGGCAGCTACCATCTCAAAAAACAAAACAAACATTCTCTTCCCCCCAAAACAACAAAAACAAAGAATCCTTGAGGAGTGCACAAAATAAGGTTCCCCAAAGGACCTTACTCAATGATACTGGCCTAGGTTCCGAAAGTGCAGACGGAGGATTAAGCTTCAAGCAGAAACACAGAGAGATTCATATAATCACCTACCTCATAGCAGTACTGTTGAACTTTATGTAAAACTTTGTTTAGGTCCTTGTTCAGTTGTTCAAGCTCTAAAACAATGGTTGCATATCTCCGCTGAAATTCAATGCTGATTGGCATGGAATATGATTTCTGAGAAGAAAATCAGATCTTGGTAAGTTTTTATTATTATTATTGATATTAGCTTGGCCTGGTGGCTCATGCCTATAATCCTAGCTACACAAGAGGCTGAGATCAAGGTTCAAAGCCAATGCAACTGCAAGTGAGGCTGTGGCTCACAACGATACAGCCCTAGCCTTGTACAAAAGCCATCAGGGACACTGCCCAGGCCCGGAGTTTAAGACTCATGACTGGAAAAAAAAAAAAAAAGACATTATTAAGTAGTAGTTGCACACATAGGTTACAATTTCAAAAGTCAGACTATGAATCTAATGCTTATTTTTTTTTTTGGTCGTGGGGCCTGAACTCAGGGTCTGAGCGCTGTCCCTCAGCTCTTCAGCTCAAGGCTAGTGCTCTACCACTTGAGCCACAGCGCCACTTCTGAATTTTTCTGCTTATGTGGTGCTGAGGAATCGAACCCAGGGCCTCACGCATACAAGGCCAGTACTCTACCACTGAGCCACCTTCCCAGCCCTCCACTATTCTTTTTGGCAGACAAGATATCTCAGTTCTTTGCCTTTCTCACTTGGAAATGTATGCGGAGGATACATAGTGTTACACTGTACACACACGTCCCTTACTGATGGGCATTCTGGGTGTTTCCATAGCACTGCAAACCACAGTTTCCCCATGGGCCCCTGCTGTAAAGAGAAGGGCTGGGGGTTCTTACTCCTCACGGAATGCCTCACCAATGCCATGACTTGTTCAAGATTTTGTTTTTGCCACTTACAAATTCAAGACTCATTTGTGTTTTTCCCTCTGTAATATGTCTATTCATACCTTTTGCCCACTGTCTTCTGAGTAGTGGACTTCTAAATTTCACATGTTTAAAAAATGTTGACATTTCTTAAATTAAGAGTACTCTACCACTTGAGCCATAGCTCTACTTCCAGCTTTTTGGTGGTTAACTGGAGATAAAAATCTCAAAACCACAACTCTCAGATCTCAGCCTTCTGAGTAGCTAGGATTATAGGTGCGGGCCACCTGAGCCCAGAAGGCGAGAGAGAGAGGAGAGAGGAGAGAGAGAGAGAGAGAGAGAGAGAGAGAGAGAGAGAGAGAGAGAGAGAGAGAGAGAGAGAGAGAGGTCTCAAAGGCCTCACCATATATATGGGTGTGTGTGTGTGTATTTGGTCTTAACCTTTTTAAAACAAGATAAGCAATTGAAGAGAAAAAGATAAATCCTTACCAGTTTTTCAGCTTCTGTGTTCATTTCCCTTAATTTCTTGATATGCTCCTTTTTAATCATGAGAATTTTTGATAATCTAGTCTACAAAGAAGAAATATTTCACAATCAACAGAAGCATTTAGCTACCTGTCAGTGTACAGAACCTTACTCTGCAGCCCAACTTGGACTCCTCTTGGCATCCTGAGCACTGGGATTTCAGGCGTACGCCGTCACCACCAAATCTGCCCTTCCAACTCTTCACTAAGGTGATTGGATAGTAGATTTTAATGTTTTGATAGAAAAACAGCAAAGTATTTTACTTCATATATTTGATCAGCTAATGGGAAAATATAATATTTAAATCCACTGCAACTAGGACATATTAAAATGTAACATGTCAATCTGAATAAGCTTTTACAGCTCAAGACAGGACAATGTACAGATCAAAGAGATCAGAAACTATAAGAACTGATATGCAAATGTTAAAATCCCAATTTCACAGTCATTGTAGGTATGTATGTATGTAGACCATGAGGCTTGAACTCAGGGCTTAGGCGGTATCCCTGAACTTTTCTGCTCTACCACTTTGACCCACAGTGCCACTTCGAGTTTTTTTTTTTTTTGTCAGTTGTGTGGCTTGAACTCTGAGCCTGAGTGCTGCCCCTCAGCTCTTCAGCTCAAGGCTAGCACTCTACCACCTGAGCTACAGAGCCACTTCGAGTTTTCAGGTGGTTAATTGGAGATAAGAGTCTCATAGACTTTCTTGCCTGGGCTGGCTTTGAACCACGATCCTCAGATCTCAGCCTCCTGAATAGTTAGGATGACAGGGTGAGCAACCAGCACCCAGCTACAGTGATACTTAAAAAAAATGCATATAATTAGAGAATGCTAGAGTCTCATTGTTTTCTAAACTTGGCAGCAAAAACATTTAACTGTATTACTATGTAACCAAATAATAGACAAGGAATAGTATTTCTTAGCTTTTTCAGCTAAGATGCACTAGTTTTCTGGTTGTTAATTGGAGATAAGAGTCTCATGGACTTTTCTGCCCAGGCTGGCTTTGAACAGAAAATTCAAAAACGTATTTAGCCAAACTGACATAGACACAACTATATACCAAATGGACACAACTATATGACATTCTGGGAAAGGCAAAATTAGGGAAGAATAAATAGATCAATTGAGTCAGGTGCTGGTGGCTCAAACCTATAACCCAGCCCCAGTACTGGATCAACAACAGCAAAAAGCGCTATTCTAGTGGAGATGCTGACGACGAGGAAGTCTATACGTGTGTACAGTAGACTACAGGGAGAGTACTGGTACCTTCCTTTCAGCTTTACAGTAAATTTAAAGCTGCACTGGAAATAATGTATATTAATTCTTTGGGTGGGGGGTCGGGGGTGGGGAGTGGGGGGTAGGAGGTGGTTATGGAGCTTGAACTCTGGGACTAGGTGTTGTCCCTGAGCTCTTCAGCTCAAGGCGAGCACTCTACCACTTGAGCCATAGCGCCACTTCTGGTTTTCTGGTGGTTTATCAGAGACAAAAGTCTCATATACTTTCCTGCATGAGCTGGCTTTGAATGTGATCCTCAGACCTCAGTCTCCTGACTAGATAGGATTACAGGTAGAAGCACTGGCACCGTGCCAGAATACTTTTTTTGAGCCAGCATTTCACTATGCAGTACAGGCTGCCCTTGAACTCACTATCCTTAGCCCTCCAAGTGCTGGATTGCAAGTAGTGTGCTATCACATCATTACTTTTTACTAGTCAGACTAAAGCTGGGTGCTGCTAGCAGCTCATATCTGTAATCCTAGCCACTCAGGCTAAGATCTGAGTGGAAGCCTTGCATAAAAAAGCTAAAGGGCCGGGTGCTGGTGGCTCATGCCTGTAATCCTAGCTACTCAGGAAGCTGAGATAGATGGATCATGGTTCTAAGCCAGCCCAGGCAGGAAAGTCCATGACACTCTTCTCTAACTTAAAAAAAAAAGACCAGAAGTAGGGCTGTGGCTCAAGTTGTAGAGCACCAGCCCTGAGCAAAAGCTGAGGGAAAGCACCCAGACCCAGACTTCAGCCCCAGGATTGGAAAAAAAAAAAAAAAATTATTTAGAAACATTGCTACATACAATATTTCTACTCTTAACTTATTATGCTTTTGACTTAGATTTCTTAGTCTCTAAGAACTTGCTAAGTACTTAGAAATAGTAGTTTCAAGTTTCAGGAAAGTTTTTAATGCAGGTAAGGTAGTTTAAACCTATGTGCACAAACCTCCTAGCTACTTGGGAGGCAGAGACAGGAGACTGCACTTTGGGATCGGCCAGAGTATAAGAGTTCATGAGACTCCTCAGAGAATGAGAGGGTGTGGCTGTATACACCTGTCATCCTAGCAACAAGTCCAAACAGAAAGGTCATAGTCTAGGCCAGCCCGGACATAATACAAGACTCTTATCTTTAAAATAACTGATGCAGAGACTGGCAGGATGGCTGAAGTGGTAGAGTGCTCACTTAGTGAGGTCAAGGCTGCAAGTTGAAACTCCAGTACCACCAAAACAAAATAGACCTCTTACTCCTTTTTGGCTGTTACAACTTAAGTTTTACTGGAAACAGTGAAGTCCTGAAAATTCACAAAATGACGAACAATATGTACAAAAGTATTTGGCTCTAGAAAATTTTTGAACTTTAGTAACACAAAAGACATTAAATTTTTATACAAACAGCAAAATATTCAGAGCAGTTCTTACCACTTGAATAAGAAATTCTACTGGAAAACCTCCTAACGTTTCAGTGTCAGAGCCAGAAATTTTACTTCTCCAAGGTGACTGCCCTAATAAAGGGTCATTATCCTATGGGAATAGAAGGCAAACATCTAATTAGTGACTGCTCAAAAAGAGTATCTGACTTTTAGATAAAGTGAAAATTCTGTTATAATTTACACTGTATTAAAACCTAATAGGAAGGAAAACATTTCTGGATTTGAAGTGGTGTGACTACTTATCTATTTTAATTTTTGATAACTCAAAATAATATGGGTAGCTCCTAAAGTTGTTATACTAGATGTTTATATCATAAGAAAACAATTCAGAATAAAATAATCAAATTACTGGTAGCATTTATATACTACTACTCACTGTGATTGGAGACTGGAGAGGAGGGGTATAATGTAGTCGCGGTGGGGTCATAAAAAATCGAGAAGGCCGCTGTTTCTGTCCAAAGGCAGCAATTGGCATTGTTTCATGAGGCTCATTACTCTTTAACAAAAGTGAACAGTCCACAACTTAGAAAAGTTTATCAGAAGCCAGGTACCAGTGGCTCATACCTGTGACCCTAGCTACTCAGGAGGCTGAGATCTGAGGATCAGGGTTTGAAGCCAGTCCAGAGCAGAAAAGCCCCCATGAAACTCTTATCTCCAATTAACCACTCAAAACCAGAACTGGAGTTGTGGCTCAAGTGGTAGAGCACTAGCCCTAAGCACAAAGAGGCTCAGGAATAGTGCCCAGGCCCTGAGTTCAAGCCCTACAATCAATGAAGAAAAAAAAAAAAGCTTACCAGTCATTTAAGCTTTATACATGAGATACATACTCACAGGCTATGATTTGATGATACATAAAGTGCATTCTGATTTATCATAGGATATATTAATCTAGGGCTGGGAAGGTGCATGCATGAGGCCCTGGGTTCGATTCCTCAGCACCAAATAAGCAGAAAAAGCCAGAAGTGGCGCTATGGCTCAAGTGGTAGAGCACTCGCCTGGAGCTGAAGAGCTGAGGGATAGCGCCCAGCCCAGAGTTCAAACCTCATGACCAGCAAAACAAAACAAAACAAAGAATATATTAATCTACAGATATCAAAGGCTCAAATGCAAATCAGAAAATGTAAACATTAAAGTGTTGTCAAAAGGTTGAACTCACAAAGGAATCAAAAGAAGAAACTATCAAAGGGTCACACAATTTGAAGAATTAACCAGTCACATTATTCTATGGGCCAGTGGCTCATGCCTGTAATCCTAGATACTCAGAAGCCTGAGATCTGAGGATCGCAGTTCAAAGCCAGCCCAGGCAGGAACGTCTGTGAGACTCTTATCTCTAATAAACCACTAGAAAACTGGAAAGGAGCTGTGGCTCAAGCGGTAGAGTTCTCGCCTTGAGTGAAAAACGTCAGGGACAGCGCCCAGACCCTGAGTTCAAGCCTCACACTAAAAATAAATAAATAATAATAAAAATGAAAATAAAAAAATTCTATGGCCACCTTTGGCTATTTTCATTTATACTATTTAAACATTATCTACTGTAAATTATTTAGCGAAGGAGACATTTCTGAGTGGCTGCATATTGAAAATTGCATTGATAATACAGAAAAGTAATTTTCTGAAAATTTCCTCATTTAATAGAAAACTGAAGAAAGGTACACTTTGCTCTTTGAGTCTAAACTTTTCTTTTTCCTTTCCTTTCTATCTCTTGTCTAAAAGGATGAGGAACCAAAAAAAAAAAAAAAGGAGGGGGGAAGTATAGGGAGGAGCTCTCATGTTAAGCAGTGTGCATGATTTGTGTGTGCGCGCAGGCGCGTGCATGCTAATCCTGCAGTTTGAACCCAGGGCTTGTGTGCTGTCCCTGAGCTTTTGTGCTAAAGGCTATTGCTCTACCACTTCAGCAACAGCTCTACTTCTAGCTTTTTTGGTTGTCAACTGGAGATAAGAGTGTCATGGACTTTCCTGCCCAGGCTGGCTTTGAATCGTAATCCTTAGATCTCAGCTTCCTAAATAGCTAGGGATATAGGTGTGAGCCACTGGCACCCGATTAGCTCCAGAGCCTTAATTAATGAATGTATGTGCCTCCATACTATCATTCAGAAAGTGAAGATATTAGTACCCACCATATGTAACTGTGAGGATACAACAACAAGACATAAAATAAAAGATGGTACTTCATGCTATTAAAGGCATTTTGTAAGAGGCTATTCTTTAACCTAAAAGCTAGGCTGAAAATGTAGAGTAGCTTCTTCCTAAGATTACTTAGTAAGCAGTGATTGGTTCTATTATACTGTGTAGGCAAAATATAACAGACATGAATCCTGGTTTCAAAAAATACAGGGTCTAGTAGACAGGGTTAGGAACTCCTAAGGATCTCTTCAGTTTTCAACATGAAATCTTTTTTTTTTTTTTGTCGGTCGTGGGGCCTGAACTCTGGGCCTAGGCGTTGTCCCTCAGCTCTTCAGCTGAAGGCTAGCGCTCTACCACTTGAGCCACAGCGCCACTTCCGGCTTTCTTCTTTTTGCTTATGTGGTGCTGAGGAATCGAACCCAGGGCCTCAGGCATGCAAGGCAAGCGCTCTACCACTGAGCCACCTTCCCAGCCTTTTTCAACATGAAATCTTGACTCAGAAAATACAATTTCTAAGAAATGTCTAGCAAACGTATTTAATATGCATAAAACACAAATGTATTATAAAATACTACTTACAAGAACTTCATAGTCAGGAATGGTATGAGTCCCCAGCCCTGTCCTGTCAAAAGTTACTCTATAAGTAGCATTAAGTGTGTCTACAGCGTCTATCTGTCCAGTGAAGAGACCATCATGAACACCACGTAGCCGGGCTGAAAGAAAGACAGACTTTATCACATTTGGGAGATAGAATTATACAGAAAATATATAGTATTGTCTCTTAGTTTTAAAATGAACACGTATTATATTTTAGGTTTATTGATGCACAAATGAAATCACATAGCTACTAAATTAAGGGGGAAATATATTAACATTTAGAGTTTAAATTTCTAAAAAAGTAAAGTAGCCAGCTGTTGGTGACTCATACTTGTAATCAAAGACACTCAGGAAGCTGAGATCTGAAGATTGTGGTTTGAAGCCATCATGGACCTTTTTTGAAAAAACTCTCTGAGACTCACACTTTACCAGACTCCAATTTACCAGAAAAATGCTGGACTGGAGGTGTGGCTCAAGTGAGAGAGCACTAGTCCTGAGTAAAAAAGCCAAATAAGAGCATGAGACCCTACGTTCAAGTCCCAGTAAAGGCATCCACACATACACAAAAAGAACTTGGACAGCCAAGTATGGTGACTCATGCCTGTCATGCTATTTACGTGGGAGTCTGAGATCAGGAGGACTTCAGTTTAAGGCATCAGGAAAAAAGTTTATAAACCTCATCTCCACCACTAAAAGCTGGTTGGTCATAAGTCAGGTACCAGTGGCTTACACCATGCAATCCTAGCTACTCAGGAGGCTGAAATCTGAGGGTTGCAGTTTGAAGGCAGCCTGGGCAGTAAAGTCTGTGAGACTCTTATCTTAAATACCAAAAAAAGCTACAAGTGGAGGTATGGCTCAAATGGTAGAGCACTCTAGCCTTGAGCACAAAACCTCAGGGACAGCACCCAGGCTCTGAGTTAAGTCCCAGGACCACTAAGAAAAAAATGAAAGAAATGATCTGTGCTTTGAGAGTGTAGCAGGAAAACACCGTATTGGTTTGATGTGCCTCTGTTTTACTGGAATGAGGCATTACATGATTCTACTCAGTTGGTCTCAGTTTGGAGAGCAGAGTTACCAGAGATTGAAGTATAGGTGAGGCAGAGAAGTTGGAGAGATGTTATAGTGCAGTGACAGAATTTCAACTGAAAGAAGCTCAGGAGATGTATTTGTACAATATGGTGACGATAGTTAATACATTTTTCAAAACTGATCTATATTTCCAAATATATTGATATAAAAAGTACTACATCACAGAAATGATAGTCATCCTGGGCGCTTGTGGCTCACGCCTTTAATCCTAGCTACTCAGGAGGCTGAGATCTGAGGGGCACCATTCAAAGACAGCCCTGGCAGAAAAGTCTGTGAGACTCATCTCCAATTAACCATCAGAAACTGGAAGTGGCGCTGTAGCTCAAGTGGTAGAGCACTCGCCTTGAGCTGAAGAGCTCAGGGACAGCGCCCAGGCCCATAGTTCAAGCCCCACAACCAACAAAAAAAAAAAAAGAAAAAAAAGAAATGATAGTTATGGTTCTGCACTCTTGTTTAGTTTTTTCTGCTCAAGGCGAGTGCTCTACCACTTGAGGCACACTTCACTTTTAGCTTTTTATTGGTTAATTGGAGATAAAGAGATTCACAGGCTTTTCTGTATAGACTAAATTCAAACCAGGACTTTAAGATCTCAGTCTCCTGAGCAGCTAGCATTACAAGGGTGAGTCAGCAGCACCCAGCAAGTTGATCATTTTTTTTTGGTTGTGCTGATCCTGGGGTTATATTTTGTTATTGCTTTTTCTGTGTATGTGGTACTGAGGAATTGAACCCAGGGCCTTATGCATGCAAGGCAAGCCCTTGACCACTGAGCCACCATCCCAGCCCCTAAATTTAGAACTTTACTCAGTCTGAAGAGTTACACACCGTGTTAATTTTCACTCTCTCTAGGTAAGCTTAGGTGGTGCTGACATGCCTTCTGACTGGAGCTAAGTGCTAGTACACAAGAGTCTGCCAGCAGTGGTAGGGACACCCCACCCCCACCCTTGACTCAGTGGCTCACTAGATAGAGGCAGAGTACTCAGCACTTCACAACAGAGGACACAAAACAAAATTAGCCAAGGTAAGAGGTGCATGGGGCAAAGTCCAGGGAAACCTGGTGGCCGGTTCTAATTGAGTCACTAAGGACTTGTTTACGTCTTCCAAAAACTTGTTGTTGGGCTGGGAAGGTGGCTCAGTGGTAGAGCGCTTGCCTTGCATGCCTGAGGCCCTGGGTTCGATTCCTCAGCACCACATAAGCAAAAAGAAAAAAGCTGGAAGTGGTGCTGTGGCTCAAGTGGTAGGGCACTAGCCTTGAGCTGAAGAGCTGAGGGACAGCGCTCAGGCCCAGAGTTCAGGCCCCACAAACGGACCCCCCCCCCCCCCCAAAAAAAAAGAATTGCAGTATCTGGCCTATCTTCTTTTTTTTGTTGGTCGTGGGGCTTGAACTCTGGGCCTGAGCGCTGTCCCCCAGCTCTTCAGCTGTAGACCAGCGCTCTACCACTTGAGCCTCAGCCCCACTTCTGGCTTTTTCTGCTTATGTGGTGCTGAGGAATCGAACCCAGAGCCTCATGCATGCAAGGCAAGCACTCTACCACTGAGCCACCTTCCCAGCACCCCTTATATTTTTGAATAGTAACAGTTTATCTGTTATATTTGAAAACATTTTTCCCATTCTATAAATTGTTGCATCTCAAAAAAAAAAATAAATTGTTGCATCTGTCTATTGTATAGTTTGCTATAATTCCACTCATCTACTTTTGCTTTTTGAGGGAAAGATTTCTATACTGATATATTCAAAATTAACAAGTAGAAATTATCCAACCCCAAGAAACAGACCAAAAAAAAGATTGAAGAGAAATGAACAGGATAAATGAGGTATACTCAAGTCATTGAGTGCCTACCTAGCAAGCATAGACCCTGAGTTTGGTACCCCAGGGGGAAAAAAGAAGAAGGGAAAGAAAGGGGGGTTGGGATGGCAGCCCTATGTTCTTACTCCGCTGTTCTGCTTGTAGCTGGAGCTCTACAACTTTACCTTCACTTCTGATTTTTATTTATTTATTTAGCCTCCTAGGGCTTGAATTCAGGGCCTTGGGTGCTTCCCCTGAGTTTCTTTTGCTAGGCTAGACTTCTATCTACCACTTGAGCCACAGCTTCACTTCCAGCTTTTTGTTGATTTAGTGGAGATTAAAATCTCATAAACTTTTCTGCCTGGGCTGGCTTCAAATTCTTAGACCTCAGCCTCCTGAGTAGCTAGGAATACAGGTGTGAGACATTGGTGCCTGGCTTTTTCTTAGGTCATGGCGGCTTGAACTCTGGACCTTGGAGCTGTCTCTGAGCTCTTCAGCTCAAGGCGAGTGCTCTACTATTTAAGCCACAGCACCACTTTGGGTTTTTTGGTTGTTAACTGCCAATAAAAGTCTCACAGATTTTCCTGCCCACGCTGGCTTTGAACCGTGATCCTCAGATCTCAGCCTCCTGAATAGCTAGGATTACAGGTTTAAGCCACCAGTGCCCGGCTATGGTGCCTGGCTTTTAAGCCTATTTTTTTTTTTTTTTTTTTACCAAGTTTACAGCCTTGGGGCTGGGAAGGTGGCTCAGTGGTAGAGCGCTTGCCTTGTATTCACGAGTCCCTGGGTTTGATTCCTCAGCACTACATAAGCAGAAAAAGCTGGAAGTGGTGCTGTGGCTCAAGTGGTAGAGCGCTAGCCTTGAGCTGAAGAGATAAGGGACAGCGCCCAGGCCTAAAGTTCAGGCCCTAGGACTGACAAAAAAAAAAAAAGAAAAAAAAGTTTCCAGCCTTAAGTACTCTATTATAGCACAAGAAAATTCACTCATCTAAGATCCAAGAAACTCAATGAACCATAAGCAGTAAGCATAGTTAGATATATCAAATTTCTGAAATGTAAGGATAGAGAATATTAAAATCTGCAAGAGGAAAAAATGATTCATGACATAGAGGAAAAGAGCAGCACAAGTAATAGGTACACCTTAGCAGAATCAATCATCAGAAACAATAAAGGTCCATCCAATGCATTGACAAACCTAAAAGAGCAACCCTTCCAAAAATAGAAAAGAAGTTAAACATGGTGGTGTGTCCCTCTGATTCCTGCTTTAGAGGCTGAGAAAGATCTTGAGTTGGAATTGAAGGCTAGCTGGAGCTACTTGGAAAGACCCTATGTCTCAAATTCACTCCCCTTTTAAAAAAGCAAGAGAAATGAAGACATTCCCAGATAAACACAAATGGAGGGAATTTGTTATTAGTGGACCTCTTGGGAAGAAATATTGTTTTAAAAACCCCTTGTGGGCCTTAACAGTAGTATACACCTAAAATCTTTGATACTCAGAAGGTGAAGATCAGGAAGAGAGCAGTTTGGGCTCGTCTAGGTAAAACTTAATCAACAAACTGGCATGGTTGTACATGCCTGTGATCCCAGACATGTGGGAGACCTAGACAGAGGGCCCAAGGCAGTCCCAAGGCAAACTATGAGACCTTAAAAAGGACTGGGGTGTGGCTCACCTGATAAAGCACCTGCCTGCAAAGTGCAAGGATCTAAATTCAAACCAAAGCATCATCAAAAAAAAATTAGTATACATTTTTCCTATTCTCTTCATCTGTTTAGCAAAAGCATAAGACAATATAAATACAGATTGAATAATAATACTACGGTGGGCACCAGTGGCTCATGCCTATAAACCTACTTAGGAGGTTGAGATATAAGGATTACAATTCAAAGGGAGCCTAAGCAGACACCAAGAGACTCTTTTCTCTAACCAGCAACTAGCCAAGAGTGAAGATGTGGTTCAAGTAATAAAACATCAGCCTTGAGCAGAAAACACTAAGAACACAAGGTTCTGGGCTGGGAATGTCGCTTAGTGGTAGAGTGCTTGCTTAGCATGCATGACGACCTGAGTTCGATTCCTCAGTACCACATAAACAGAAAAAGCCAGAAGTGGCACGGTGGCTCAAGTGGTAGAGTGCTAACCTGAGCAAAAGAAGCTTAAGGACAGTCCCAAGCCCTGAGTTCAAGCCCAGGACTGGCAAAACAAACAAACAAATAAAAGCAAGGTTCTGAGCTCAAGTCCCTGTATCGACACAATTTCAAACAAAGAAATGGACCACTTCTAGACCAAAGGCAGTAAGAACAGTGGTACTGAACTAGTTTAAATAAGGCTGGGGGAGCAAATGTGGCAATAAGAGATGAAAGATGTTTTAATTAAAACCACACAAAGGTATATTTATTCACATTCACAACAATTTCCTTTAGTTTATATTACTGTAAATGTTACTTTGAATCAATATACTTTTTGTGCCAAGCACCAGTGACTCACACCTGTCCTAGCTACTCAGGAGGCTGAGTTCTAAGGACTGTGGTTCAGAGCTAGTCCAAGTAGGAAGTCCATGGGACTCTTATCTCCAATTAACCATCTAAAAACCAGAAATGGAGCTGTGACTCAAAGTGTTAGAGCACTAGCCATGAGCAAAAATGCCCAGGCCCTGAGTTTAAGCCCCATAACCAAAACCCCCCCTCAAAAAAATTACAAGTCACAATAGTAATAAGTTGCCCTCGCTTACCTGTAACCTTGGTTCCAATAACCAGAGGCAAAGGGATTTCATCTGGGAGGTCTTTGAACTGTGAGACATCTGCAACTTTCCTTTGTTGTAAGAGCCTTATTTTTTGCCGCTTCTGTTTTAATGCTGATCTCTCTTCCTCAAAAAATGCAGAAGAACATCTAGAATTTATAAAAATCACATAAACTGATAACTACCCTCGATAAAAATTGCTTCGTTTCCCCTCTCATTCTTTTTTTTTTTGGGTCTGGTCGTGGGATCTGAACTCTGGGCCTGGGCGCTGTCCCTCAGCTCTTCAGCTCAAGGCGAGCACTCTACCACTTGAGCCACAGCGCCACTTCTGGCTTTTTTCTTATGTGGTGCTGAGGAATCGAACCCAGGGCCTTAAGCATGCAAGGCAAGTGCTCTACCACTGAGCCACCTTCCCAGCCCTCCCCTCTCATTCTTTTTTTTTTTTAAATTTAATTTAATTTTATTTGTGAACATACTGTACAGAGGAGTTACAGTTACATGGGCAGGATAATGCGTACATTTCTTACCAAGCATTGCAGCCTCCTCCTTTGTTTATCCTTCACATCCCTTCCCAGCCTCCCCCCTCCCTCCCCTCTCATTCTTGAATACTGTATTTAAAATGGGTAATCTCCATGAGTATTCCTTTAACTATTATGGTACCTTTACTTGATTTTGACAGTACTGGGATTTGCATTCAGTGTCACATCCCCAGCTCTCCAAACATATACGTGTGTGTGTGGGGGGGGTGTGTGTGTGTGTGTGTGTGTCTACTAAGGAGGCTGAGATCTGCAGATTGTGGTTCAAAGCCACCTTGAGATGGAAGTCCATGAGTCTCTTAACTCCAATTAAGCACCAAAAAAACCTGAGAATGGAGTTGCAATTCAAGTGGAAGAGTGCTAGTCTTGAGAACAAAAAGCCCAGGGACAGTAATCAGGCCTTGAGTTCAAGCCTCAGGACAAGCACAAAAAAAGCAAAAAATTTGAAGTAATGTTATGACAGGAGAACTATAATATGACCTTCACAGAAACTGAAGAATTATAACAAAGAGTATAATAACCACTCATATATATATATATATAAAATATATATAATACACACACACACATATTTTTTTAAAGTCATAGGGCTTGAACTCTGGGCCTGGGCGCTGTCCCTAAGCTCTTTAGCTCGGGGCTAGTGCTCTGCCATTTGAGCCACAGCACCACTTCTGGCTTTTTCTGTTTATATAGTGCTGAGGAATTGAACCCAGGGTCTTAGGCACTTGAGCCACAACACCACTTCTGGCTTTTTCTGTTTATATAGTGCTGAGGAATCGAACCCAGGGTCTTAGGCATGTGAGGCAGCACTCTACCACTGATCCACTTTCCCAGACCCACTACTCCTATATTCTGATGGACATGAATTAGAAATAAGGGCTCAACTTTCATCAAAGACCATATTACATTATCAGTATGAAATACACTAGGTAACAGAATGTCAATCTTGTTCATTTAAATGGAAGAAATACTTAAACATCATAAGAAAGACCATCTTTCAGCAGGGCGCCAGTGGCTCACGCCTGTAATCACAGCTACTCTGGAGGCTGAGAACTGAGTTTGATCAAGGTTCACAGCTAGCCCAGGCAGGAAAGTCTATGAGACTCCTATCTCCAATAAACCACTCAGAAAACCCGAAGTGGTGTTGTGGCTCAAGTGGTAGACAATGCCCAGGCCCAGAGTTCAAGCCCCATGAAAAACAAAAGAACAACAACAACAAAAAGAGCATCTTTTAGTAGAGGGATTAAATAGTAGTGGCTTGATTAAAAAATTCTCTGAGAATTTTATCACCACTTACAGATGTCACCAAAATAAATTCTTTTTTTTTTTTGCAGGGGGGGAGGGGGGAGGAGAAGGGTAGTAGGGGGAAGGGACAGGTGTTGGTTGTAGGGCTTGAATTCAGGGCATAAGTGCTATCCCTGAGCTTTTTCTCTCAAGGCTGGTGTTCTACTGCTTTTAGTCACAGAGCCACTTTCAGTTTTCTGGTGGTTAATTGGAGATAAGAATTTCACAGGAGGGGCTGGGAAGGTGGCTCAAGTGGTAGAGTGCTAGCCTTGAGCTGAAGAGCTGAGGGACAGCGCCCAGGCCTCACAACCGGACCCCCCTAAAAAAACAAAAAAAAGAAAAAAAGAATTTCAAGGGGCTGGGCACTAGTGGTTCATGCCTGTAATCCTACTCAGGAGGCTGAGATCTGAGGATCACGGTTCAAAGCCAGCCTGGGCAGGAAAGTCTGTGAGACTCTTATCTCCAATAAACCACTAGAAAACTGGAAGTGGCGCTATGGCTCAGGAGGTAGCATGCTTGCCTTGAGCTGAAGAGCTGAGGGACAGCACCCAGGCCCAGAGTTTAAGCCCATGACAGACAGACAAAAAAATAAATAAATAAAATAATAATAATAAATTCACAGGGCTAAGAAGGAGGTAACAATGCTTGACAGGAAATGGACTCGCTACCTTGCTCATGTAACTATAACCCTTCTATACAGTATTTTTACAATAACAAAAGTATTTAAAAAAAAAAAAAAAGAATTTCACAGGGCTGGGAATGTGTAGTGATGGTAGGGTGCCTGCCTAGCATGCATTGGGTTCGATTCCTCAGCACCACATACACAGAAAAAGCCAGAAGTGCCACTGTGGCTCAATTGGTAGCGTTACATCCTTGAGCAAAAGAAGCTCAGGGACGGTGCTCAGAGTTTGATCAATAGGTCTGGCAAAAAATAAATAAATGAAATAAAATATCTTGAACATTCTCCTAACTATACACATAACACGAGAACTAATGATCTAATTCTCAATTTTTTAAAATGGTTATTAGTATTTTTTAAAATACATTTTTATTGTAAAAATACTGTATAGGGGGGTTACAGTTACATGAGCAAGGTCATGAGTACATTTCTTGTCAAGCATTGTTACCTCTTCCTTTGTTTTTCCCCTACCCTCCCTTTCCTCCCACTCCCACAACTACACTCCCCACCTGTTCAGTTTTCAACAAAGTGTCTTGTGCATCTCACTGTTACAATGGGTCAACTTGTATCCTGTATTCAGCATTTTGTTTTTTCCCTCCCCCTCCTCCTAACATCTCAAATTTTTAATTGAAAGTAGTAAGAGGTTTTCAGTACCTAGATGACAATAAAAAAGGAAAAGTTATTTCATGAGAGAAAGTAACCCTGGATAGATTAACTTGATTTCTTTTTTCTTTTCTTTTTTTGTCATTTAAAGGGCTTGAACTCAGGGCCTGGGTTCTGTCTCTGAGCATTTTCTTTCTTTCTTTTTTTTTTTTTTGTCGGTCATGGGGCCTGAACTCTGGGTCTGGGCGCTGTCCCTCAGCTCTTCAGCTCAAGGCTAGCGCTCTACCACTGGAGCCACAGCGCCACTTCCGGCTTTTTCTGTTTATGTGGTGCTGAGGAATCGAACCCAGGGCCTCATGCTTACAAGGCATGCACTCTACCGCTGAGCTACCTTCCCAGCCCTCTCTGAGCTTTTTCATTCAAGGCTAGCATTCTACCACTTTGGCTACAGCGCCACTTCTGGTATGCTGGTGGTTAACTGGAGATAAGAGTCTCAAGGACTTTCCTGCCTGGGCTGGCTTTGAACAGCAATCTCATCCTCGAGAGTAGCTAGGATTACAGGATTGAGCCACTGGCCCCCATGTGCTTTCTATTTGTATATTAAAGTATATCAGACATTTAAAGGCTCTTGAAATGATAAATGATTTCACAAAGGATATTAACAATGTGCATATAACCTTATAACTTCCTTGAATATTTTTTGTGTGTGTGCTGGTCCTGGGACTTGAACTCAGGGCTTGGGTACTGTCCTGAGCTTTTTTGCTCAAGACTAGTGTTGAATCACAGATCCACTTCTGTTTTTTGCTGATTAACTGGAGATGAGAGTCTTAAGGATTTTCCAGCTGCAGCTGGCTATGAACTATGATCCTCAGATCTCAGCTAGTATTAGAGATGTGAGCCACTGGAGCTTTGACTTCCTTTAATACTTTTTAGGATAGTCCTAATACTCAATATTTTTTGGAACAAAGAACAGCATTGGTAATTGAAAAACAGTGAAATTATGTTTAAAACCTGAGATCTGCATTATATGCTACATATGGACATGTGAATGCCAAAAGCCCTTGTATAATTTACTGATGCTGATAAAAATATGGGGGGAAAACTTATGAGCAAATATGAAACTGTATGTTTATTTATAAAATTAAAATCAGCTACATTAAAGTAGTTTAGCAGGGCACATTTAGCATATGATAAATTATTTTGTAAAGTAATCTTTTGGCACTGGTACCTTTCAAGAATTAAAAAAAAAAAAATCAATCCAAACGTCAGTGGCTCATTCCTGTAATCCTAGCTGATACTCAGGATCATAGTTTAAAGCCAGCCTAGGTAGGAAAGTCTGTGACTCTTATCTGCAATTAACTATCAAAAAGCCACAAGTGGAGCTGTGGCTCAAGTGGTAGACAGAGTGCTAGGCTTGAGGGGAAAAGCTCAGTGACAGCGCCCAGACAGGAATGGCATAAAATAAATCAATAAATCAAGGAACTAATGATAATACTATTTCTTGACTTTAAACAAACATTATTTTTACCTCCGTGGTTTTCCCATTAGCCGCCTGATTTTTCCCCACTCTACCCTTGTCAACTTTCTTGTTTTCAAATTAGGAAAAGATTCCTTTAGGCATACACAGAAGTCATTATCACCCTCGAAAAGTGGTCTGCAAAACAGAAATGGAATTTCATTGGTTAATAAATAACGTGCTATTTTTCAGACATAAAATCCAAAGTATGCATTCTAATTTTCCACATTATACTAACAATCCAAAATGCCACTTTCACTCTGTCCTACAGAGAGGCAAAGAGGCACAAATTCAAAGTGCTAAAGGTAAATCCTTAGCATGTGTGAAATACTCAACATATAAAAGCTATTTGGGAAATGCCATCAGGGCTGGAGGTTTTAGGAGGCGCTGATTTTCGTTGGAACCTCTACCTGCTTTATTATGTGGGAGGCCATACTGGCCCTGGCCTTACATCTGATCAAAACAAACAATACTAGCTACAAAGTACCTACGTCCCAGAGGTAATGCCATCACCAAGGAGTCTTCTTTGGGACTGAGCCAGTCTCGGAGCACTGGAGGACTCTTAATGGTAAGCTTAGGTTTTAGGAACCTTCAGACCCCATGGAAGCTCCCTCAAGCTCCATGGAAACGGGACAAAAACAAAACAATTATACTCACGAGCTTGAGAAGGCAGAAGTTCAATCTAACAATGATATATACATACATGCCTCAGGCTCAAATATTCATACTCATGAGATTCATAAGCTTCAGAAGAGACAAATCGTTTGGAAAAGAAGAAGGAACTTTGCTGATTATTTGAAAATCAATTTTTCTCAGTAATTCTATTGTCAAATATTGGATTTTAACCAATTTTATGTCCGCTTCAACATTTCTGTGCTATTATATTCCCCAAGTAAAATACGCATATAAAAATCCTATGCAGCTAGGCACCAATGATTCACACCTGCGATTCTAACTCAGAAGGCTGAGTTTTGAGAATCATGGTTTGCAGCCAGCACTAGCAGGAAATCCATGAGACTCTTATCTCCAATTAACCAGCAAAAAGCCGGAAGCAGAGCTGTGGTTCAAATGCTAGAGCATTAGCCTTGACCACAAAACTTCGGAGACAGCAACCAGGCCCTTAGTTCAAGCCCCAGCACTGGCACAAAAAAGAGGGGTGAGGGAGTGGAGGAAGGGGAGAAGCCAGTGGCTCATACCTAAAATCCTAGCTAGAAACTGAGATCTGAGGATCGAAGTTTGAAGCTAGCCCTAGGCAGGGAAATCTGAGATTCTCACCCCAATTAACCAGCAAAATCAGAAGTGGAGGTATGGCTCAAGTGATTGAGTGTCAGCCTTGAGCAAAAAAAAAAAATCTAACAAACAGCACCCAAGTCCTGAGATCAAGCCCCAGTATTAGCACAAAAAAGGGAGTGGTGGTCATGGCATACTCAAGTAGAAGGCTAGTAAGTTCTTGCACCTGCTTAATAAGAGGTCCTGAGTTCAAACCCCAATTCCACCACAAAAATTAAAGTAACATGATATAACCCATGATACATACTTATCTATATTTGAATAGAACCATTCATATATACACCATTTATGTGCTTTGGGAAGCTTCAGTAGGTTACGTAATCGAAAACCAATCTTCTGTGATGCTTTCTTATCTGGTGTTGACATTGTTGCTGTAAATTTCTACATGATGAAAAAAAATAGAATTATAGCTCCCCTAGTTAAAAATGAACATTTAGAATATTGAATACATTTGTAAAAAGGCAAGCTATACTTAAGTACTCAAAAGATTCATGGAATTTTTTTGTTAAGAAATATGCCGATCCTTTACAAAGTTAAACCCTCAACTTTCATCACACATTCTGAGAAGGAATGTGAAATATTTGCCCCACCATGTTCAAAGTGCAATGACTTCAATTAAAAGACCAAAAAGAAGATTGCTAGGCTCAGTGGTACAGTGCTTGCCTGGATTTGAACAAGTGTACACATGGGCAGGCAAGCAAGCACTAGTCTTAGAAGTGAATGCTATACCAAACAATGAACTATGTTATTCAAATGTTTTCGATAACTGGAAAACATAAAGCTTCCCAAATGTCTGCATGATAGATAACAAATCCTACCAAAGTATAACAAAGAAAATAGTGTTATACTCCTGTAGTTCCAGCTACCCAGAAGGCCGAGAGAGGAAGATGGAGAATTCTGAGCAGTTATTGAGACTACATTAAAAAAAAAAGGGGGGGGGCTAGGAAGGTGGCTCAGTGGTAGAGCGCTTGCCTTGCATGCATAAGACCCTGGGTTCGATTCCTCAGCACCACATAAGCAAAAAGAAAAAAAAAAAAGCCAGAAGTGGCACTGTGGCTCAAGTGGTAGAGCGCTAGCCCTGAGCTGAAGAGCTGAGGGACAGCCCCCAGGCCCAGAGTTCAGGCCCCACGACCGGACCCCTGCTCCACCCCCCCCCAAAAACAAACAAACAAACAAGATAAAGCCAGGTGCTGATAGCACATTTCTTGTAACTCTGGAGGCTGAGACCTGACACCTGCAGTTTGAAGCCAGCCTATGCAGGAAGGTAGAAATGTGGATCAAGTAGTAAAGCACCAGCCTTGAGCAAAAAAAGCCAAAGGACAGTGTGAGGCCCTAAGTACATGCCCCAGTTTTGTCACAAAAAGAACAAAAGAAAAATAACAAAAGAAAAGGTGAAGTGAGAGTGCTTGCCTAGCATACTCAAAGCACTAGTTCACTCACAGGTACTAATAAAGTTTGGTGCCAGCACAAAGAAGAATAAAAAACAAACCATTAGCTAGACTGACCAAGAAAATAAAACTAGATGGGCACTATTTTAACTGGAGGCTGTTTTCAAAGTGTCTCCCAATTTATTGTGTTAGACAGCAGATCCTCAAGTCACATTAAGGTAGTTAAAAGAGTTAAAACCTGGGTCTGAGAAGGTGGCTCAGTGGTAGAGTGCTTGCCTTACATGCATGAGGCCCTGGGTTCGATTCCTCAGCACCACATAAGCAGAAAAAGCCGGAAGTGGGACTGAGGCTCAAGTGGTAGAGCGCTAGCCTTGAGCTGAAGAGCTGAGGGACAGCCCCAGGCCCTGAAAGCCCAGAGTTCAGGCCCCACAACCAGGAAAAAAAAAAAAAGAATTAAAACCTTTAAAAGGCGATAAGAGCCAGGAAATGGAGACTCATACCTGTTATCCTAGCTACTCAGGTGGCTGAGATCTGAGGATTGAGGTTCAAGGCCAGTCCAGGCAGCAAAGTCTGTAAGACTCTCATCTCCAATACACAAATCAAAAAAAGCTGGAAGTAAAACTGTGCTCAAGTGATATAGCACTAACCTTAAGCACAAAAGCGCTAATGACAGGTCCTTACCAGGACCCACATCAAAAAAGGAAAAAGGTGATTAGGTGGTAAGTAAGGACCCTGCCCTCATGAATGGGTCGATCCATTAGCAGATAAGTGAGTCCTGAGAGTGGCTTTAACTACCAAAGCAAACTCCCCCTGGGACCCTCACTCCTTTTCTTGGCCTGTGACACACCATCCCACACCTTAGCAAAAAGATGGCCCTCATCAGATGGTGAGCAGATGCCAGCCTTCCAAAACTTCCAGCCTCCTATACCTCCAAAACTGAGTCAAAAACAAACTTTTCTTATTTCTTTTGAACAGTCCTTGGGGTTAAACTCTGGGCCAGGGCGCTGTCCCTGAACTTTTATGCACAAGGGTAGTGCTCTACCACTTAAGCTACAGCTCCAGCTTTTTTTTTTTTTTTTGGGGGGGGGGGGGGGTAGATTTTAGTGGAGATAGGAGTTTCACCAACTTTCCTGCCTAGGCTGACTTCAAACTACAATCTGCAGACCTCAGCCTCCCGAGTAGCTAGGATATCAGATGTGAGCCACTAGAGCTTGGCTCCAACCTCTTTTCTTTATAAATCATTCCACTGTTGGTAGTGAGTTGCAGAAACAGAAAACTGCCAGACACTTGGCAGAATGTGTTTCTTTCCACTCCAAAAATCCTAAGCAGTTAAGGACTTCAGTTCAAAGTCAGCCCAGGCAGACAAATCCAGGAGACTCGTCTCTAATTAAGCAGCAAAAAGCCAATGCTGTTGATGGCTCTTGCCTGTAATCCTAGCTACTTCAGAAGATTGAGGTTTGAGGATCAAGGTACAAAGCCAGATTGGGCAGGAATGTCCATGCGACTTTTATCTCCAATGAAACATGAAAAAAGCCACAAAAGGAGTTGTGGCTCAAGTGGTAGAGCACTAGCCCTGCGCAAAAAAGTTCAGACAGTGCCCAGGCCCTCAGTTCAAGCCCTAGAACTGGCTCACAAAAAAAGTCAGAACTGGTGTTGTGGCTCAAGTGGTAGAGCACCAGCTGTGAGTAGCAAAAAAGCTGACTGAGGGCCGAGGGTGTGGCTCAAGTGGTAGAACACCTGCTCTGCAAGCACAAGGCCGAGTGCTAACACCAGCACTGCCAGTCACTGAGATCTGAAGGTTGAGGTTCAAAGCCAGCCAGGACAGAAAGTCCAAGAGCCTATTGAGAGCTCAAGGCCCTGAGTTCATGTCCCAGGACCAGCACAAGAAAAATTACACATGGCTAGGATTACAGGTGTAAGGCCACCAGTAACCTGCTAGAAGTGTTTAACCTATATAACGACCATGGTATCATAAAATAATGTTACCACACATACGTAGAAACTAGATGTAAAATATAATGATAACCTCTATAGGGTTCTAGGTATCCACACAGTCAGACTAGAGGAGGATACCTTAGGGGACAAAGTTAAAGGTGTAACTTCTCTGAACATTTAAGATACTATTTATTACCAGGTGCTGGTGGCTCACGCTTGTAAATCCTAGCTACTCAGGAGGCTGAGGTCTGGGGATAGACATTCGAAGCCAGCTTGGGCAGAAAAGTCCCCATGAGACTTATCTCCAATTAATCACTCAAAAACCGGAAGTGGTGCCGTGTCTCCAGTGGTAGGCTAGTACCTTGAACACAAAGAGGCTCAGAGATAGCAACCAGCAAAAACAACAAAATACTATTTATCAAAGAATTCCAGGAAATGGAACGTGGTATTTTTTTTGTTACTGTTGGTAGTGATGATGTTTAGTTTTTGCTTTTTGTGGGGGGGGTACAAAGGGGGGGCACAGAAAAGGAGAAAGGTAGGGGAAGCAAATGCGGTCATGCTATTCAGTATACAACATGTAGAAAATGAACTATGTAATCTGTGGGCAGGGATGAGAGGGGAAATGAGAGAAAGTGAAGGAAGGTGACATACCAGATGTTTATTTATTTTTTTGGTTGGTGGTGGGGCCTGAACTCTGGGCCTGTGCGCTGACCTAAGTACTTCAGCTCAAGGCTAGCTCTCTACCACTTGTGACAGAACTCCACTTCCATCTTTTTCTGCTGGAATCGAACTCAAGGCCTCATGCAAGGCGAGCACTCTACCACTAGCCACCTTCCCAGCCCTCAGTGTGTTTATTTTAGCAACAGTCAGGGCCTTGAGCTTGCCAAGTAGGCACTGTACATTTGATGTATTCCCCAGCATTTTTTGCTTTTTTTTTAAACATTTTTAAAATTGTTATTATAAAGGTGATATACAGAGGGGTTACAGTTACATAAGTCAGGTAATGAGTATTTCTTTTTTTTGTTTGTTTGCCATGGGGCTTGAACTCAGGGCCTCAGCACTGTCTCTGAGCACTTTTGCTCAAAACTAATGCTCTACCACTTTGAGCTACAGCTCTACTTCCAGTTTTCTGGTTAAATGGAGATAAGAGTGTCACTGATTTTTCTGCCAAAGCTAGCTTTGAACTGTGATCCTCAAATCTCAGCCTCCTGAGTAACTAGGATTTCAAGCTTGAGCCATCAGCACCCAGCTATGAGTACATTTCTTTTTGGACAGTCACCCCTTCCCTCACTCTCCCCTTGTTTTTCCCTCCCACCCCACCCACAAATTGTATAGCTCATCTTCAACACAGTGTCCAGTACAAGTACTTTTGCTTTTTTAAAACAGGGTCTTGAAATTTTGCCTGGGCTGGCCAGGACCACGATCCTCCTACGCCTACTTCTCCAATTACGGGAATGACGGGTGTTCACTGCCATGTTCAGTTCTGTGTATGTCTGTGCCAGTACAGGGTGCCTTGCACTCTTTGGTCAGCTTTTTTCACTCAGGGATGATGACTCTATCTACCACTTGATGCACCCCTTCAGTTTTGGCTTTCTGCTAGTTAATTAAAGATAAAAGTCTTACAAATTTGTCTACCAGGTTGGCTTCAAACCATGATCCCCAGATCTTAGCCTCCTAAATAATTAAGATTAAAGGCTTGAGGCAACTGATACCCAGCTATGACTTTTTTTTTTTACTGGTTAAGATGGGAGTCTCAAGAACTTTTACTATCCTTGGTAGCTAGAATAACATGCGTGAGGCTCTACATGTGTAGAAAGGGGTCTAATTATAATACTTACATATCACATACATATAATGTACTCTGATCAAATTCACTTCATCTTTATCCCTTTTTCTCTTCCTTTTTTTTATTTTGGTCGGTTATGGGGCTTAAACTCTGGGCTTGGGCACTGTCCTTCAGCTCTTCAGCTCAAGGCTAGCGCTCTAGCACTTGAGCCACAGCACCACTTCCAGTTTTCTGAGTAGTTTATTGGAGATAAGAGTCTCATGGCCTTTCTTGCCCCGGCTGGCTTTGAACCACGATCCTCACATCTCAGCCTCCTGAGTAGCTGGGATGACAGGTGTGACCCACTGGCATCCGGCTCTTCCTTCCTCCATTTTAACAGTTTTTAAAAGCAGGTTTCATTATGCTATTTTCACACACACACAGACATAAAATTTACTTCTATCATATTCACCACCTGTCACTTTTGCTTTCCCCTTCCAACCTCTCACTGGTTGTCTCCCACCGAACAGTCTTCTCCACTTTTTTTTTTGGTCAGTTGTGGTCCTGAACTCTGGGCTTGGCTGCTGTCCCTCGGCTCTTCAGCTCAAGGCTAGGGTTCTACCACTTGAGCGACAGCGCCACTTCTGGTTTTTTCTGTTTATGTGGTGCTGAGGAGCTGAACCCAGGGCCTTGCGCATGCAAGGTAAGCGCTCTACCACTGAGCCACCTTCCCAGCTCTTTTCCCCACTTTTTACAATCATGTCATGTTATTTTGTATTTTTGTTTTTTTGTGCCAGTGCTGGGACTTGAACTCATAACCGAGGCAATGCTTTGTAGCTTTTTGTTCAAAGCTAGCACTCCACTTCTGGAGGCTGGGTAGTTAACTGGTGATAAGATTCTCATGGACTTTCCTGACTGAGCTGGCTTGGAACCAAAATCCTCAGATCTGAAACTCCTGAGCAGCTAGGATTACAGGCATGAGAAACCAGTGCCCAGCTAATTTACGTTTTTAAAAGGTCTAAATTCCACATAAAGGCAAAACATGAAATATTTGTCTCTCTGAGCCTGTTATATCTTGTTTACCATGGTCTCCAGTGACCCATATTTTTAAGTGGGAATTAGTTGCTCACTGGATATGTATATATATGATATAAATTTAATATATATTACACACATATATATATATGAAAGAAGTTGAGTATAAGCATATATACTCAAATTGTTAGTGGGAATATAAAATTATAAATCTTATGGGTTACTTGATAGTATCTTCCAGATTTTAAATATAAATACCCATTATAGCAGTTATATTTTTAAGGGTTTATTCAAGAAAAGAAGTCAGATGCCAGTGGCTAACACATGTAATCCAAGGTACTCAGGAGGCTGAGATCTAAGGATGTGGCTTGAAGCCAGCCTGGACAGGAGGGACCATGAGACTCTCATCTTCAATTAATTAGCAAAAAGCTGGAAGTGAAGCTGTGGCTCAAGTGGTAGAGGGCTAGCCTTGAGCAAAAATACTCAGGGACAGTGCTAAAGTCTTTAGTTCAAACCAAAGCACTGCCCCCCCCACCAAAAAAAAAAAAGAAGAAAATTGGGAATGACTGTTAGGTACAATGTTTCTGGGGTAATAAAAATGCTCTAAAATTGTAATGATGACTATGTACCAATTACTATTAAAGAGATGGTTTATATAATCATGTGACCTGTATACCAACAGTTTTATTTATTAGAAAGGAAAGCGAGACATTGGGGACGGACTGCCCACCGTTTTATTGTTGGTCTCCATTTCCTAGCTTTCATCTGTACAAGATACTTAACTTCTTCATAAGGCCTTTTATCTGCAAACTGGGAATATAGTAATCTGTATCATGGAGGCTGTTGAATTATTGAAGTCAAGGTAATAGATATGAAATGCTTAGAGTAGGACCTGGACCAGGGTAAGTAATTGACAAAATAGTTTTTATAATTTTTCAGCTCTGAAAGGGTTTTTTTGAGCCAGTACTAGGTCTTGGGTGATATCCTTTAGCTTTTTTGCTCAAGGTAGATGCTCTACCACTTCATAAGAACCATAGCTCCACTTCTGGCTTTTTGGTAGTTAGAGTAATAGTCTCAACGGCCTTTCTTGCCCAGGCTAACTTCAAACCTCAATCTTCAGATCTCAGCCTCCTGAGTAGTTAGGACTACAGGTATGAGCCATGTATGCAGCCTGAATGATATTCTTTAAGTAAACATACACACAAGTTGGGACTGTAGCTCAGTGGTAGAGTACTTGCCTAGAATGTACAGGGCCCTGAATTCAGTCCCTAGCACCAAAAGCAAAACAAAATCCTCCACCAAAACATCATCAACAACAACAGAAAACACAGCTGGGCGCTGGTGGCTCACGCCTGTCATCCTAGTTACTCAGGAGGCTGTGATCTGAGATCGTGGTTCAAAGCCAGCCTGGGTAGTTAAGTCTGTGAGACTCTGATCCCCAATTAACCACCAGAAAACCGTAAGTGGTGCTGTGGCTCAAGTGGTAGAGCACTGGCCTTGAGCTGAAGAGCTGAAGGACAGCGCCCAGGCACAGAGTTCAAGCTTTACAAAGGACAAAAAACAAAAAATAGACAAAATGTAACACTTAGAGGATATGACTAGAAAGATAATAGAACAAACCATATCACGTTAAATGAACGAAAACTGCAAAAAAAAAAAAAAAAAAACTAGGGATATAAGATCAAGACTAGAAAGAAAAACAGTCAGATATGAGCCCACACACTCGGAGAAGTCTCTCACATCTGTCCTGTGCTGTGTTTGCTCTGTATTGCTCATAAGTATAAACTACCACACAAAACACTCCTACAGGGAGTGATGTGCTTGAGGGCAGTGGGGAAAGCGAGGACAGGACAATTTAACAGTCATAAAGACAAAAGTTGGGCTCTCCCAAAATCAATCGCCATTTAACTATGGCCTACATTCATTTGACCTTGCATCTAGTACCTACCAAACCAGAAGTGGCACTGTGGCTCAGGTGATAGGGTTTTAGCCTTGAGTACAAAGAAGCTCATGGACAGTGCCCAGGCTGGCTCTGAGTTCAAGCCCTAGGACTGGCAAAAAAAAAGGAATTCTGACTTTGCCCTGGCTTTTTCCTCTTTCAGACAAAGTCTTCAACAAATCTATCACTTTGGTAATAGAAGTAAACATTTCCCCCTCTTATTTACATATAAAACTCAAAACTGATTCCACTTTGCCAAATCCATTTGCTTAATGTCCATTATCTTCATGCTTATAGATGATAACTGGCCTTCTACACTGGTTTAAAGTCAACCAACAAGCTGGACATCCTAGTTACTCAGGAGACTGAGATCTGAGGATCACAGTTTGAACCTGCCCAGGCAGAATAGTCTTTGGGACTTTTTTTTTTTTGGGTCAGTTGTGGGGCTTGAACTCTGGGCCTGGGCGCTGTCCCTCAGCTCTTCAGCTCAAGGCGAGCGCTCTACCACTTGAGCTACAGCGTCACTTCCGGTTTTCTGGTGGTTTATTGGAGATAGGAGTCTCCGGGTCTCTCCTGCCCGGGCTGGCTTTGAACCCCGATCCTCAGATCTCAGCCTCCTGAGTAGCTAGGATTACAGGCGTGAGCCACCAGCGCCCGGCTCTTTGAGACTCTTATCTCCAATTAACCCCAGAAAGTAGAGGAATGGCTCAAATGGTAGAGTGCTAGCCTGGAGTTAGCTCAGCACCCAGGCTCTGAGTTCAAGCTCCCATACTAGCACACACAAAAAAAAACAAAAAATCCACGAAATCGTCTATGTAACTACAACAGGAACAGAGTTATTTAAATACTGACTTAAGATAAATATACACTTTATCATGTTTACCCACTGCTTACTTCTGTTTAATGAAACAAAAGCTTAGCACCACATACCTGTGGAACCATTGCAACCCTTTGGTTTCTTTTAGGTGACTTGGTATTTATTTGTCTGTCATCTTCATCAGAGAAGAGTCGACTTCGTTTTGAATTTCTGAAAGGCTATGATAGAAATTTTTCATCTAATAAACATGTGTCAATTTTGTTCCAAAACACAATCCTGTTCTTGGAAAATACAGCTAATTCTGATTATCAGCAATATGGAAGGATTAAGTATGAGCAGTACAAAGCACTCAGAGCCAAATATAAATAATCTTAGATTTAGAAAGCATTAAAATATACATCCTGGTAGCTTTGTTTACAAATTTCACTTGATGATTAGAATTAAAAGCCATGTCTCTGCATCATACCAGCAACCAGTGACAGTGAAGACAAGAAATCCCAGTTCAAAATATGTTGGTTAGCCAGGCGCCGGTAGCTCACGCCTGTAATCCTAGCTACCCAAGAGGCTGAGATCTGAGGATCACGGTTCAAAGCCAGCCTGGGGAAGGAAAGTCCATGAGACTCTTATCTCCAATAAACCACTAGAAAACTGGAAGTGACGTTGTGGATCAAGCGGTAGAGCGCTCGCCTTGAGCTGAAGAGTGCAGGGACAGCACCCAAGTCCAGAGTTCAAGCCCCAGGACAGACTTCTCCCCCCCCAAAAAATGTTGGTTAATACCAATGGAGTGTATTTCATGATGTTCGGTGCACGGGCTGAGCTGGAAAGGACAGTAAATAATCTAGGGGAGTATCCAAATATGTAACATACTGCATCTGCTGTCAAAAATTGCTAACAACATTTTTTTTTTCCTTTTTCCCAGTCATAGGGCTTGAACTCAGAGCCTGGGCACTGTCCTTGAACTTCCAGTTTTCTGGTAGTTATTTAGAGATTAAGAGTCTCACAAACTTTCCCACCCAGGCTGGCTTTGAAGTACGTTCCTCAGATCTCAGCCTCCTGAGTAGCTAGGACTTAAGGCCTGAGCCACCAACACTTGGCTGTTAACAATATTTCTTTTTTTTTTTCTTTGCCAATCCTGGGGCTTGAACTCAGGGCCTGGGCACTGTTCCATGAGCTTTTTTTGCTCAAGGCTAGCACCCCAACATTTCTATTTGTAAATAAAAATACAAAATATGGGGCTGGAGACGAGATTCAGCAGGATCCCATCATCTTTGTACATGTGAGGCTCTGAGTTCAAAGCTCCAGTACTTTCCCCACCCCTCAAAAGAAAACAGAAGACACGTAATAAAGAATTGATAACTATAGAACTTTTTAAAAAGAAAATGAGGGGCTGGGAATGTGGCTTAGAGGTAAAGTGCTTGCCTAGCATGCATGAAACCCTGGGTTTGACTGCTCAGTATCACATAAACTAGAAAAAGCCAGAAATGGAGCTGTGGCTCAATTGGTAGAATGCAAACCTTGAGCAAAAAAACAAGCTCAGGGACAGTGCCCAGGCCCTGAGTTCAAGCTCCAGAACTGGCAAAAAAAAAAAAAGAAAAAAGAAAAAAAGAAAAGAAAGAAAAAGAATTGAGTATTGAAAGTACATAAGAGTCGAGCACCAAAGCCGGGCGCTGGTGGCTCACGCCTGTAATCCTAGCTACTCAGGAGGCTGAGATCTGAGGATTGCGGTTCAAAGCCAGCCCGGGCAGGAGAGACCGTGAGACTCCTATCTCCAATAAACCACCAGAAAACCGGAAGTGGCGCTGTAGCTCAAGTGGTAGAGCGCTCGCCTTGAGCTGAAGAGCTGAGGGACAGCGCCCAGGCCCAGAGTTCAAGCCCCACGACCGACAAAAAAAAAAAAAAAGAGTCGAGCACCAGTGGCTCGTACCTAATATTCTAGTTACTCAGGAGGCCAAGATCTGAGGATTGAGGTTCAACGCCAGCCAGGCAGGGAAGTCATTGAGACTCTTATCTCCAAATAACCACCAGAAAACTGGAAGTGGCGCTCTGGTACCAAGTGGTAGAACCTAGCCTTGAGTGAAAAAGCTCAGGGACAGCTCCTAGGCCCTACATAAAAGACCCATGACTGACAAAAGAGAAAAAAGTACATTACTGAAGGGTCTGTAATAGGAAAAAATATAAAGTCCAGCCTAGGTTTAAATGTTTGAGAGCCACCTTTTTTTTTTTCCTTGGTGCTGGTCCTGGGTCTTGTACCCAGGGCCTAGGTACTGACCTGAGATTCTTTTTCTCAAGGTTGAGCTACAGAACCACTTCCACCTTTTGCTGACTAGTTTAATGGAGATACAGAGTGTCAAACCTTTCCTGTCTGAACTGGCTTTGAACTACAATCCTCAGATCTGTCTCTTGAATATCTAAGATTACAGGTGTGAGCCAGCAGCTCTCTGCTTGAGACCCATATCTTTTTTGTTTGTTTGTTTGTTAGGTTGTGAGGCTTGAACTCTGGGCCTGGGCACTGTCCCTCAGCTCTTCAGTTCATGGTGAGCGCTCTACCACTTGAGCCACAGTGCCACTTCCGAGACCCATATCTTTTTGCAAAGTGTCCCTTATCACTCAAGACAGCTCTACGGGCTGGGCGCCAGAGCAGAGACTTATAAGCCTAGCTACTCAGGAGGCTGAGTTCTGGGGATCATGATGACATGAAGCCTGCCCTGGAGGAAATCCCTGAGACTCTTATGTCTAATTAACCACCAAAAAGCCACAAATGGAGCTGTAGCTCCACTTACACCGTGGAAGTGGTGGAGTATCAGCACTCAGACCCTGAGTTCAAGCTTCAGTACTAGCACGCAACACATACACACACACCCCTACACACACAAATGGACAGCTTTTCAAGGTCACATGGAAGGGAGACAGGTGAACAAAGCTAATTATATACAGGCAGCCTTCAACTGGGTCAAGACTAGATTTTCCAGTCTTGACAGTTAAGTCCTTTCTACCTAGACTCCTTCCCTGGCCAAATACAGAGGAGCAAGGGAAAAACAGTTCCTCCCATCTGTGATGGCCCCCTGGCCAGGCTACTCCTGTTATCTCTGCCAGCTACAGGCCTGTTTCATGCCTGACCCATGAGACACCTCCTGGCTACCTCTACCTACCTCCCTGGTTGAGCAGGGAGGAAACAGAGTTCCTAAAATTATTACTAGGCAATTACACACTCACCTTGACTTCCTTTCCAAATGTACTTATCCTTGATCTACACAAGATTTAACATTTCACCAGTTGATGGCATACATATCTCTATGCAGGCACGAGAGACACATAAAATTTTTGTAATCTAATAAAACTAGACTTTAGGTTGTCTGCATGTTTTTGCCTTTTGTATTCAAAGAACCTATATTTATCACATGCTTGATGGTGACAAGATAATCACTGTAGATAATTTGTCTCCATAAGCTCAAATTTACTTAATAACAAAGACCCGAGTGCTTGAGTTTGGAAAAATAAAAACCCTGTTATTGTGCTAAGAACTTACACACAATAATAACACAAGCTAGTTATTATTTGAAAAAGTTAACTTATTCCTTACCATTTCTACAGCAGGGCTTGTGTTCCTGCCCTTCCAAACAGGAGTTTTCTGTAAAGAACTGTACTTTTCATTCCATGTGTTAGATAAGCTTCCCTCTGTAACAAATAATACTAGTAAATTTTAAGTTTGTTCAAAGGATTTTCATATCATAAATATGATCTTTTAAATAGTAGAAATGTATTTAAAGTATATACCAGTGTGAATAATATACATTGCTCATAATAACTGCATTTTATTGCAAATAAAAACATCTATATTTTTCTGTTCAGTCTCAATAAAGACATGAAACTTAGTATTAAACTTCTGTTTTAAAATATGTAGCATCTTTGTTCCCCCTCCTCCCCTTTTGAGGCTTGAACTTTGGGCCTGGGCGCTGTCTTTCACTGATGGTTAGTGCACTACCACTTTAAGCCACAGTGTTACTTCAAGTTTTCTAGTGGTCAATTGGAGATAACTGTCTCCCGGACTTTCCTGCCCAGGTTGGACTTGAGTCGTGATCCTCAGATCTCAGCCTCCTAGGATTACAGGTGTGAGAGCCTGGCTGTTCCCTTCTTTTTGACATTTAGTTATTCTTGTACTCAATTTCCAAGATCCCATAATTCTCTAGACAATTCTGACTAAAGCAAGGAACAGAAATAGGAAAGGCCTCTTCCTTCTAACTTTGAATTTGCAACACATCTCTCAATGTTTTTTGTTTCAATAGGTCAAAGCCAGCCCGTGCAGGAAAGTCCGTGAAACTCTAATCTCCAATTAACCACCAGAAAACTGGAAGTGGTGCTGTGGCTCACGGTAGAGTGCTCGCCTTAAGCTGAAGGACAACACCCAGGTCGAATTCAAGCCCCACAACTGATAAAAACAAAACCAAAAAACAAGAACAAAAAAATTTAGTGCAGTATTTAAAAAAAAATTCAAAGAAATGTGCTATACATACAGGAAAAACCCAATCAAATAAATGATTAGATATGAAAATTAAGGGGAGGGCTAGGAATGTGGCTCAGTGGTACAGTGCTTGCCTAGCATGCATGAAGTCTTGGGTTTGATACCTCAGTATTACATAAACAGAAAAAGCCGGAAATGGCGCTGTGGCCAAAGTGGTAGAACGCTAGCTTTGAGCAACAGAAGCTCAGGGAACAGTGTCCAGGTCCCGAGTTCAAGCCCCAGGACTAGGAAAAAAAAAAAAGCCAGGCATAGTGGGTCACACCTATAATCCTCCATCTCAGGAGGCTGAGATTAAGAGAATTGTACTTTGAGACCAGATCAATCTGAGACCATCAGCTCAACCAATAAAAAGCAGAGCATGGTTATAAGCACCTGTCATTACAGCTATGCAAGAAGCATAAATAAGAGGATCACAGTCCAGATCAAACTAAACATCAACATGATACCCCATCTCAAAAATAACTAAAGTAGGGGGCTGGGAAGGTGGCTCAGTGGTAGAGCGCTTGCCTTGCATGCCAGAGGCCCTGGGTTCGATTCCTCAGCACCACATAAGAAAAAAAAAAAAAAAAGAAATAAAAATAACTAAAGTAAAAAAGTCTGGAAATATAACTCAATTGGTACAGTGCCTGTTTAGCAAGTGTAAGGCCCTCAGTTCAAACTCCTAAGGAGTTATCAAGACAATTCCTCTGAAATCCCAGTGTTATTTTTTTATGAATTAAATTTCTAACACATGAATATACCTAAAACAAATATAATCCTTACCTTTTAAACTGACAAGGGCTTTTGCCGAAGAGCCTACAATAGAAAAAAAAATGATTATTTTATAAAGTAAGAGAAAAAGAACTTGATTTGGGGGTGAAAGTAATCCATTCAGTTTGTATAATGGGGAGTTTGAAATGACAAATGAATATACAATTTGAAAAAAACTGGTAGACAATGTAAGCTTTAGACATGAATTCAAGACAGGATAAGGAAGAACTGGAAAGAAACATTTGGTAAAGAGCTGGAAACCATTCTAAGGAAAATGTAGAGAGGAAAAAGGAGGTAAGAACAGAAATAATTTTGGATCCTCATTCCAAAGTGCTCTGGTGAAGAAAAAAAAGGAGCAAAAGAACTGACATTTATTGAGCCCAAGAGCTGAGGAGGTAATGAAGTAGAGAAAATAAAACATGGAAATAATCCTAGAACTGACATAGTGGGTTTGAAGTCCCTTGAAAATCTCAAATACAGGCACGTGCAACACTTAAGATCCATGCTAGAACAGCCACCAGGGGCTAGCCTAATAAATGTGGAGGAGCTGGGCGCCTGCAGCTCACACCTGGAATCCTAGGTGCTCAGAAAGCTGAGCTCTGAGGATCATGATTCAAAACCAGCCAGGGCAGAAAAGTCCATGAAACTCTGGTCTCCAGGGGCTGGCAAGGTGGCTCAGTGGTAGAGCGCTTGCCTTGCATGCATGAGTCCCTGGGTTCGATTCCTCAGCGCCACATAAGCAAAAAGAAAAAAGCCAGAAGTGGCGCTGAGGCTCAAGTGGTAGAGTGCCAGCCTTGAGCTGAAGAGCTGAGGGACAGTGCCGAGGCCCAGAGTTCGGGCCCCACAACCGGACCCCCCCCCAAAAAAAAAAAAAAAAAAAAAAAGAAACTCTGATCTCCAATGAACCACCAGAAAACTGGAAGTGGTGCTGTGGCTCAAGTGGTAGAGCACTCGCCTTAAGCTGAAGACCTCAGGAACAGCGTCCAGGCCAAGTTCAAGCCCCACAACTGACCAAAAAAGAAAAAAAAAAAAATACCTAAGGTAGTAAGAGAGCTTAGGAATAGTGCCCAGGCCCTGAGTTCAAGCCCCCGTGACTGGAAAAATAAAAAAAAGCCTAAGGTCTGATTTAACAAGCCCAGGACATTACAGCCAAACTAGGAAACAGAAAGATAGGCTGCACATCCACACAGTACCCAAAACAATGCAGTTCATCTGAGGAAAACACATTCACTCATTCAGTGAGTATGTACAGGGCATTGACTACAGGCTAGCCCAGCTCAGAGCAATGGGGATATTGCAGCAGACAAAGCAGCCCAAGTCCCTACTCTCCCGGAGCTTATCTTCTACTAGAAGGTAAGAAGGGAGACAAACACAAATACAGGCCAGGTGATGATAAGCACTATGGAAAAAGTAAAGCAGGATAACAGGAATCCAAGTGTGGGAACAAGGAGAGCGCTGTTTACATAAGGGGACCATGATTTCCGTCTCTGAAAAGGTGGTATCTGGGCAGGAATCCGAAGGAAGAGGTTAGTCACAGAATCACAGACATCGATTCCTGCTTCATACTCCATGACTGCACATTGGGGTTTGTGACCTTAACTCGACTACTTACGGTCTTTCTTTCCTTTCTGGAGAGCAGTTATAGTTAAGGATTCTTAATTGAGGCTACCTGTGTTTTAACCTTGGCTCTGTCACCTCCTTGCTTTACCTTCTGAAAGTACTTAATCTCTGTGCTGTTCTTTTTTTTTTTTTTGTCAGTCCTGAGGCTTGAACTCCGGGCTTGGGCCCTGTCCCTGCACTCTTCAGCTCAAGGAGAGTGTTCTACTGCTTGAGCCACAGCGCCACTTCCAGATTTCTAGTGGTTTATTGGAGATAAGAGTTTACGGACTTTCCTGCCCCAGCTGGCTTTGAACCGTGATCCTCAGATCTCAGCCTCCTGAGTAGCTAGGATGACAGGCTAGCCACCGGCGACCGGCTGTGCTGTTGTGTCTTCATTTGTGAAATGGGCAGTAAATGAGTTAACAAGAGCTTACAGCATGTACATATGTGAGCTGGTGGCTCATACTTGTAATTCTAGCTACTCAAACATCTATAAACTGAAGATCAAAGTCAGCCAGGGCAGAAAAGACCACGAGACTCTTATCATCAATTTTTTTAACCAGCAAAAAAGCCAGAAATAGAAGTGTGACTCAAGTGGCAGAGCACCAGCCGGAGCACAGGGCTCTGAGATCAAGCCCCAGTACTCACAAGGGGAAAAAAAAGGCAGAAGTTAACTGTAAGTGAGTACAGGATGAGCATCCTAGTCAGAGAACATGTACTGAGAAAAGCCCGGTGAATACAGGGAATGCAAAGGATCCAATTTAACTCAAAGGAACAGAGTAAGAGAAGCAGAATGGCCAGCCAAAATAGGTCGTATAGCTATTAAGAGACTTTAAACAGAGCCAGAAGCTGGTGGCTCACGCCTGTAATCCTAGCTACTCAGGAGGCTGAGATCTGAGGATCACGGTTCAAAGCCAGCCCAGGCAGATAAAGTCCAGGAGACTTTTTTTTTTTTTTGCCAGCCGTGGGGCCTGAACTCTGGGCCTGGGCGCTGTCCCTCAGCTCTTCAGCTCAAGGCTAGCACTCTACCACTTGAGCCACAACACCACTTCTGGCTTTTTCTGCTTATGTGGTATTGAGAAATGGAACCCAGGGCCTCATGCATGCAAGGCAAGCACTCTACCACTGAGCCACCTTCCCAGCTCTCCAGGAGACTCATTTCCAATTAAATACCAGAAAACCTGAAGTGGTGCTGTGGCTCAAGTGGTAGAGCGCTTGCCTTGAGCTGAAGAGCTGAGGGACAGCACCCAGGTCCAGAGTTTAAGCCCCATGATGAAAAAACAAATTAAACAGGAGGATAAGGAGCTAGAGACCTGACTAAAGCCTCTGCCTAGCAAACAGTAGACTCTGAGGTCAATCTCTAGTGCTCTCAAAATCAAACAGAAGCCAGGAACTGGTGTATCATACCTGTCATCCTAGCTACTCAGGAGGCTGAAATCTGAGGATTGCAATTCAAAGCCAGCCATGGTAGGAAAGTATGTGAGACTCTTTAACCATCTAAAAACTGGAAGTGGTGCTCTGGGTAGTAGAGCCTAGCCTTGAGTAAAAGAGCTCAGTGACAGCACCCAGGCCCAGGGTTCAAGCCCTACAACCCAGCAGAAAACAGAAAGATGACCTTTACACACTTTGAAAGGAGCCTAAAGTGCTGGGACATAATAGAAAGCAAAAGTTCCAAAATTTGGTAAAGGCTCAAACATGAAAAGTGAAAAGGAAGGGCATGCCACAAATAACCACTGGGGTTCTGCTCAGTGGGTGGGTAGGGATGGTGGATATCCAGAGGATTTACCCTGAGAAGTTTGAGGAGTCTCTGGAGCATCCAAGGGGAGATGTGGAATAACAGACACTTCAGCAACAGGAGTTTATAGGAAAGACTGATCTAAACATAGTATCCTCATGTACAAAACTGAGTACTCACATGAACTGAAACATTTAACAAACATATATATATATATACATGCATATATATGTATATATACATACATATACATACATATATATATATATATATGTGCTTTGCGGGCTGGGGAGGTGGCTCAGTGGTAGAGCGCTTGCCTTGCATGCCTGAGGCCCTGGGTTCGATTCCTCAGCACCACATAAGCAAAACGAAAAAAGCCAGAAGTGGCGCTGTGGCTCAAGTGGTAGAGCGCTAGCCTTGAGCTGAAGAGCTGAGGGTCAGCGCCCAGGCCCAGAGTTCAGGCCTCACGACCGGATTCAAACAAAACAAAACAAAAATATGCTTTGTACTGACTCGGGTTCACATTACATACTCGGTAAGTTATATTTTGATTGCTGATGCGAATACACTAGCTAGCGCCCTTGAATAAACTGAGCAAATACCTGTTAGTTCTGTAATCTAAAATCTCTTTTCAAGATCTTCCTCAAAAAAGAAAAAGGAAGGAGATCCTGCAGCGTCTCCTCGACGGGGCTGCCGGGTCCGTCCCGTCTCGGGGCCGGGGTTTGCGTCTGCTGGCCGGTAAGGAAGCCGGGGTCTGCGCTGACACGCACGCAGGCCCGCGCCCCACGCTCACGCGGGGCAGAACGGCCGGGACCCCGGCGGACCCCCACGGCGCTCCCGTCCGGAGACCAGCACCCTGTGCGGGGCCCCGTGTCCGGCTCCCCACGTCCACCGACAAAACGGCCGCCGGTGTGCCCGGCCGGCTCGGCGGACTGAGCTCCCGCCCCCGACGGCGCGAGCGGCGGGGTCGGGCTCGGACCCAACGTGGGCGCAGCGTGCCCGGCGGGCAGCTCCCGGGCCTGGGCGGCCGGCGCGCCGTGCGGGGGCCGGGCCGCGGGGGCAGGCCGCGGGGCACGCGGGACCGCGGCGGCAGCCAGCCGGGGCGTCTGCTCTCTCCGGCCCGGCCGGGGCGCGGGCGCGGCAGGTGAGGGCGCGGGGCCGGGGCCGCGCCGCGCCGCCGCCGCCCGCCGCGCAGCTCACGCCCGCGGGCTCCGGGCGGGGCGCGGGGGGGGGCGCCCTGCGCGCCGCGGCCCGGCCGGGTGGGCTGCGCCGGGGTCGGGCCCCCCGTGGTCGGGGCGGTCCCGGGACGGCACGGAGGCCGGCGGGAGAGGGGCCGCGGCCGCGCCGCCGCGCCGAGCCCCCGGCCGGCGGCTTACGTAACCGGCGCGGGAACGGCGGCGGGGCCGCTCTCGCCCCTCCGCCGAGGCCGCGGCCGCCGCGCCGCCGGGACGGGCGGGACCCCGGCGTGCGGCTTCCGGCCCGGCGCCCGCACAGCCCCAGAAACTGACACGGACACCATAACAAAGGCGGCGACGCGGCGACGGCCCCGGCGCGGGAGGACCCGGCCTGCGGGGGGGGACGGCGGGGGTCGGCCCGCTTGCCGGGCGAGGGACGCGGCCGCGCGTGCGGGCCGGGGCGGCCGCGGGCCCGGCGGGCGGCGGGGACGGGGGCGCCCGGGCGCTACTCACTCTCGTCAGGCAACTGGTCGAGCTCCGCCATCTTGAACGAGCCGCGCCGCTTTTTCAAAGGCTGCCCGCCGCGGTGCATTGTGGGGCGGAGGCCGCCTGCGAGGGAGGTTCGAATGCGGAGCTGCGGCCCGCGCCGCCGCCGCCGGCTCCGCCCCACCCTCGCGCGGCCCCGCCCCCCGCAGGCCCCGCCCGCCCTCGCGCGGCCCCGCCCCAGGCCCCGCCCCCGCAGGCCCCGCCCCCTGCAGGGAGCGCCCGGGGCCGGCGGGGCCGGTCAGCCTGGCGTCCCGGTCCGCGCGGCTTCCTCAGCGCGCGTGGGCCGCGCTCCGAGAGAGGCGCGGGAAGGAAGCCCGCGGGCCCCGAGGGGCCGCGAGGACACGGAGGCAAGCCCCGCCTCCCGGCGCCCCGCGGCCGCCTCCGCCGCGGCCGCGCAGCGCGCTGCGCGTTCGGGTCTCGGGTCCCGACGCCGCGGCGCTGGTACCTGGAGGCCGGGCCGCGCGGCTGACGGGGCCTCGAGCGGCGGTGGAGTCGCGCCCCTCCGGCCCCCGGGCGGGTGCTCACAGGCCGCGCGGCGCGGCCCGCCCCGGACCCCCGGCTCGCCCCGACCCCCCCCCCCGGCTCGCCCCGGAACCCCGGCCCGCCCCGACCCCCCGGCCCTCCCCGACCCCCCCGGCCCGCCCCGACCCCCCCCCCCGGCCCTCCCCGACCCCCCCCCGGCCCGCCCCGACCCCCCCCGGCTCGCCCCGGAACCCCGGCCCGCCCCGACCCCCCCGGCCCGCCCCGACCCCCCGGCCCGCCCCGACCCCCCGGCCCGCCCCGACCCCCCGGCCCGCCCCGACCCCCCCCCCGGCCCTCCCCGACCCCCCCGGCCCGCCTGACGCCCCGAAGCCCCCGGCCCGCCCCGGACCCCCCCGGCCCGCCCCGACCCCCCCTCGGCCCGCCCCGGACCCCCGGCTCGCCCTGACCCCCCCCCCCGGCTCGCCCCGGACCCCCCGGCCCGCCCCGACCCCCCCCCCCGGCTCGCCCCGGAACCCCGGCCCGCCCCGACCCCCCAGCTCGCCCCGGCCCCGCACGGTCCCGGCCAGGCTGGCGCGGGTCACCCCCGTCGGAGGAGCCCATCCTCGGCCTTCGCGACACCTCCGCCCCCGCCGCCGCACGCTGCGCCTCCCGGCCAGCGCCGGATCCACGCCAGCCACGCCTGGCCTGTGCCGGTTAATCTGGAGGTGGAATCGCGACAACTTTTCTGCCAGGGCTGGCTTCGAACTGGGATCCTTGGTAACTCGGCCTCCTGAGCACCTAGGAGTAAAGGAGGTGAGCCACCGGAGTCCACCTCCTTCCGTCCCTCCCTCCCTCTCTTCCCTCCATCCCCTCCCCTTTTCCCTCCCTTCCTTCCGTCTTTCCTTCCTCCCTCCCTTTTCAGAATGTTTCTCTGTAGCCCAGGCTTGCCTTCCAACTCTCCATCCTCCTCCCTCAGCTGGGAGTACAGTGCTACCTGCTGATCTCCAGGTCTTTTCCTTCAGAGAATGGTTCTTTTGGAAGCAGTAGGATGACCCCTTGTGTGGATGGGTGGAGTGCAGGAACTAGATGTTAGTGGTAGACAGAGGACATCAGGACACCCCAGCCCTGGCTAAGAAGCTGAACTTGCTGAGGGCATGAAGAGCCATATATTTAATAGGGTGGTAGGTTTTTGTTTGTATTTTGGACAAAGACACAAAATAGATGGGAAGAGACAAGAGGAGAGCCTGAGAACCGGCCAGGCACAGGGCAGCAGAGATGCTGTGCTGCCCCTGGGCTTTTTCACGCAAGGCTGGCGCTCTACCACTTGAGCCACAGCTGCACTTCTGGCTTTTTGGTGGTCAATTGGAGTGGACTTTGCTGCCTGGGCTGGCTTTGAACCGACTCTCAGATCTCAGCCTCCCGTGTAGCTGACAGGTGTGGGCCACTGGCGCCCTTCTCATGTGTGCTCCTAGCACACAGCAGTGCCCTTGTGCTACCATGATGGCACAGGTGGAAGCAGTCGGCATGTAGGGCAGGACTTTTACCTGGAGGGAGATTTGGGACACAAGCCTGAGCTGTGCAGTGTGAGGGGAAAGGACTATCACTGGGCTTGCTAGCTCTTTGCCTCTACTGCCATGCTATTAGGCTGCTGTGCTATTAGGCAGGGATAGGGAAGTGAGAGTTCAGTTTTCCAACATAACCCCTTATTTTGAGTGAGCCAAGCCCTTCTGTGCCCTCTGACCTGCCCTCTTAGAGGTGAAGCTCTAGCCCTGAGGCCAGTATCTGAGGAGTCACAGCAGCTTCCTCTATTTGGAGATAAGGTCAAAAGAAGGTCTGAGAATGAAAGAGTAAAAATAAACATGAAGGAGGCCAGTGGTGAGAGGGAGGCAAAAGTTCTATGAACATCGCAGTGGCCAGGGCATCATTAAGACCAAGGCAAGTCAGGCTTTATTTTGGTCGGTTGTGGGGCTTGAACTCTGGGCCTGGGTACTGTCCCTGAGCTCTTCAGCTCAAGGCAAGCGCTCTACCACTTGAACTACAGCGCCACTTCTGGTTTTCTGGTAGTTAGCTGGAGATTCTCACCAACTTTTCTGCCTTTCTGGCTTTGAACTGTGAGTTTCAGATCTCAAGCCTCCTGAGTAGCTAGGTTTATAGGTGTGAGCCACTGGCATCTGGCCAGGTCAGGCTTTTTACCAAAGAGTTTTTACACACAAACAATAGAGCTTCTGTTTAAATCAGCTTTTCAATCAACACTCTACTCTTTTTGAGAAAATCATAAAGCATATATATTAACAAAGCTTTTCAGGTAACAAAGAATACAAATATAAAAGCATTTTCAAAACAGTAGAAAAATACAATAAAACTTATCAATTCAACAATCTATATATTAAAAATCTTAAGTGAATCTTCTGGAAGTCTGAGCCGTGTCCCAGCCCCAGATCTACCATTTACTTTCTGACCAGTATTAAGGCACTTAACTGCTTTTCCAGTGAGGCTCTTTATTGGGCATTTAAGAGGGAGTCATAATCATTACCTTAGTCCATTCTCCCAACAGCCTCATAACTTGTCCAAGGAACATAGTAACCACATGGTTGGTTCAGGGATCGGGTCCATTTTTGCCACCTCAATTCGTCCTTCTGGGATGTGAGGCCATTTGTGCTAATATAACAAAATGCCTTTTGACTGGGATTTTTTTTTTTTTTTGTCAGTTGTGAGGCTTGAACTCTGGGCACTGTCCCTGAGCTCTTTTGCTCAAAGCTAGCACTCTACCACTTTGAGCCACACCTCCACTTCCAGTTTTTGAGTGGTTAATGAGATAGGAGTCTCACAAGGACTTTTCTGCCTGGGCTGGCTTCAAACTGTGATCCTCAGATCTCAGCCTCCTGAGTAGCTAGGATGACAGGCGTGAGCCACCAGTGCCCAGTATGACTGGGAAATTTATAAACAACAGAAATCCAGAGAAACCCATTTCTGGGCTGGGAAGGTGACTCAGTGGTAGAGTGCTTTCCTAGCACATATGAGGCCCTGGGCTCAATTCCTCAGCACCACATAAACAGAAAAAGCCAGAAGTGGTGCTATGGCTCAAGTGCTGGAGTGCTAGCCTTGAGCAAAAGAAGCTCAGGGACAGTGCCCAGGCCGAGTTCAGGCTCCAGGACTGGGGAAAAAAATCCATTTCTGATGGTTCCAGAGACTGGGAAGTTAAGGTCCATGTGCCAGCATTAGTATATGGTGAGTGATGCTCTTGTCTTCCAAAGGTGAGGTTTTTGTAGCTGCTCCCAAGTAGATGAAATGTCGTCCTCTAAGGACAGAAGGCAAAGCAGTGCTCCTTTCAACTTTTGATTCTTTATAAGGATGTTATTCCCCTTCACAAGGGCAGAAACCTCATCTCTTAGTACTGTTGTGTTGGAAATTAAATGTTAACATGAGTTTGGAAGGGCCACCATCATTAGCAATATGAAACATTACATATTCCAATTTAAAATGACATAATTGGCTGTGTTCTTAGTTGCTTTTAAAAAAAACACAAAAAAAACACAAAACTAGGGGCTGGGAAGGTGGCTCAGTGGTAGAGCACTTGCGTTGCATGCCTGAGGCCCTGGGTTCGATTCCTCAGCACCACATAAGCAAAAAGAAAAAAGCCGGGAGTGGCACTGTGGCTCAAGTGGTAGAGCGCTAGCCTTGAGCTAAAGAGCTGAGGGACAGTGCTCAGGCCCAGAGTTCAGGCCCCACGACTGGACCAAAAAAACAAAAACAAAAAAAAACCCCAAAACCTTTAATAGCCAGGTGTTAATCCTAGCTACTCAGGAGGCTGAAACCTAGAGGACCATGGTTAAAAAGTCTGTAAGAGGCTGGGAATGTGGCTTAGTGGTAGACAGCTTGCCTAACATGCATGAGGCCCTGAGTTCGATTACTTAGTACTACATAAACAAAAAGCTGGAAGTGGTACTCTGGCTCAAGTGGTAAAGTGCTAGCTTTGAGCACAGAGAGGCTTAGGGACAGAGCCTGGGCTCTGAGTTCAAGCCCTAGGACTGGCCTAGAACTGGTTTAAGTAGGTGATCACCAGCCATGAGCAAGAAAGCCCACTTACAGAATGAGGCCCTGAGATCAAGCCCTGGTACCAACAAAAACCCCCAAACCACAAAAACCTGTGCCTGGGGTGTACACTTTACTATACCTACCTAGTATGTATATCACTCTAGGTTCAACCCTCAGCATCACAAAAACAAAAGAAAAAGCACTAGGTCAAAATAGAAGTCTGGTGGTACCAGTGACTCAAACCTGTGATCTTGGCTACACAGGAGCCTGAGATCTGAGAACTGCAATGTTGTGCTGATAGAACCAGGTTCAGCTCGTCCTGTCCCAGCATCCTTCCTGCCAGAATCCCACTCAGACCTTGGTCCCTACTTCCTCTGTTTGGCCTTACACAAATGACTGCTCCCTTCCTAGGGTCTCCAGTGAATAGTAGTCTCCTTTTTTTTGTTGTTGTTGTTGGTCGTGGAGCCTCAATTCTGGGCGCTGTCCCTCAGCTCTTCAGCTCAAGGGAAGTGCTCTACCACTTGAGCCACAGTGTCACTTCTGGCTTTTTCTGCTTATGTGGTGCTAGGGAATCGAATCCAGGGCGTCATGCATGCAAGGCAAGCACTCGCCCACTGAACCACCTTCCCAGCCCAAGTTTCCTTTTATGAAGTATAG